TGGGCGGGGGCGCTGTCGCTCCAAAGACAAGAAAAAGGGAGAGAAGCCCCGCCTCCGAGTCTTTTATTGGCTGGCGCGGCCTCTGTTCGTCAGAAGGGGAATGGTTTTTTTTAATTAACCAAAGCTTAAAACTCCATTGGACGAATCCGAGGGGGAGGGACTCGGTTTTTCAGTTCTTGCACGTACAGACGCACGCGCAAATAACTTTCAATGTGGGAGGGGAGGGAGCCTCAGTCAGGGAAGGGGAGGGAGTCGCCTTTTCATGAACTTGACATGCCATTGGTGTGGTGGGGGAAGATTCGCCAATCAGCGCAGGAAAAAGATGTGTCGGGTGAGAGGTGAATAACCATTGGTAAACCTAGACATCAGTCAAAGGTTTCTGCCTTCGCCTTAGCTATTGGTTTTTTAATTTCTGAAGGACAAGAGAAAGACATCTATTGGCTTGCCGGCCTGACAATCAAAGAAGAGTGTTGGAGTTCATTTGCCTCAGCGAAATATGACAAAGGAGGTGATAGAGGCGGCGCTGCTCGGTCTGATGGGAGAACTGAAGTAGCGCAGACCGGATATCCTCAGTTAAAATGGCTAAGGACGTAAAGATAGAATGTGAGGGTGAGATGCAAAGATGCCCATCCTGACACTCGATTGGTTGAGATGAAGTGTCATTCAACAGCACAATCCCGCCCATAAAACTATTTTCTAAGTCAGTATTGGCCAATTTGGTGCTTATTTATAAATTAAAAACCTTTATAGTGTCCTTCACTCTCGTATTGGCCAAATTGTATGCGACTTAAGAGGAAACTAATTTAATTAAACAATTTATTGGCGGAAAAACATGTCAAGGAGAAGCAGACCTTATCAAAATAATTTACTAATTGGCATTTATTATTCCATCGCAAGGTCACTTTTTTTTTTTTTTAGGAAGAAAAAGAGCAAAGCGTCACTCCGGGACTTGTAATAACGTTTTCTGTTCATGACAGCATACATTGGTTGAATTTGTTGTCAATTAAACACTTTCGCCGGTCCTATTGGCTCTCCGCCTCCTACCATCGAAATAGGAATCGTGGATCACAGGGTCCAGTGTGGTTCCATTCACAAGTTGGGAATTATTCGTGAACGCTCATTGGTAAAGTCATGGGGCATCCCTATTGGTCCAACAAGAGTGCCATTGACAAGTTTTTATTACACGAAGCTGGGAGTACGGTTTACCCGTGTGTATGTATCTGTGCGCGCCTCCGCTTCCTGCTATCGCTGCAGAGGAAAGGAATCGAATATAGTTATTGATTAGCATGTTGCCTGATAATAGTAAAATAATCAAATCTATGCCTGACTCTCTCCAATCCCAGCTGGATCGTGAATTTGGAAAGCGTATAACCGATTCCAACCCCAAGCAGATTTGATACTAAGCCACTGGATTTCAATTTGCCAAATTGGGGGGAGGGGGGATAGTGGAGTGTCACTTAACGGGCTTGTCATGGATGTTTACAAAATAGCTGGTTTTGCTTTACAGGACTTGCTGGAAAAATGGTTGATTCACCTGTTTTAAAACAATATACCTGCCCAGCAGGTAAGATCATCTTCAGCTGTTGTTTTCTAGAAGCGTCAAAGCATGTGAAGCGAATGGCTACCAAGAAGAGGACTTTTCGGTTGTGCCAACCAGTTGTGGAATGCGCTTACCAGACATGCTTGTCTGGTGTCTATAAGACTTTATTTTCTAAAAACAAAATAAAAACTAAAATGCTTAAGAACAGGGTGCTATCCAACACACATTTAGGTAGGGGGGAAAAGGGCTACAGCTCCCAGCAATTTGTTAAGCTGGCCTCCCATGCTGGAAGTCATAAGCATTTTAGTTCTCATTTTAAACATTTATATTGTGTTGTATTATGTTGTATTTTATGGCTTTCATTGTTGTGAACTGGCCAGAAAGTGTTGGCTATTGATCAGTATATACATATATTCAATGCATAGATATTAAAATGCCTTATTATTAAATGTAAGTGCCTATTGTTTAATAACTAAAAATTTGCAAATGTGAATAAGTAAAAATAGTAATTGCATTCAAACACAAACACAGGCATGAATCTGCTTGTCAAAATTACTTGTCAAGATTAGCTGGATGGTATCCAAACAAGTGCTGAGTTAAAGCCCTGTCACTTAAACTACAGGATCTCAGTAATAAACCCACATGAGGCTGTATTATTCTTGGCACTAGGGTGCAATTCGGTTGTAATTATTATAAGCCCTTGAACTTCAAGGCTTACGCTCATTGCATATAGGGCACCTCCCCAACCTCACAACCTACATCTTTGTTAAATTAATGTTATGCCCAGTCTAGCAAAAGCATTTCTGAGGGGAAGGAAGCTGGAGAGTCCCCAGAATAGCTTGTGTCCTGGCCTTTCCAGTCTGTCCCCCCCCCCCCTTGCCTTGCTCACTGAAATGCTCCCCTTTCTCCCTGTACAAGGTTGTGTTCCCAGCCTCAGAGAGGCAGCCAACACGGTTCTTTCTGTGCTGGCTGTGAGGAGATGGATTGTGGACCACTCACTCCAGTGTTGGTGCAATATCCCAGCCTAAGATCTGAATCCAAAGTATTCTGTGGCTTGTCAGGTGCTGTCTAGATAGAGACTGTAGGATGCTTCCTCCAAAGTTCTCTCATCTAATGAGCAAAAATTACTGTAGAAGGTGTATATACATCAAAAACTTGATATTTATAGACATCTAAGGGTACAGTCCTACTGCCTCCCAGCATCATCTAGGAGACCATAGCATTCCTCAGAGGCCCAGCTCCAAAAGAACTCAGAGGGGGTCATAGGGGCATTCTGGGGTGGGGGGGGCACAGAGTTACACCAATTAAAATCTGACCTCCAGTCACTAAATCTTGGCACTAAAAATGACTGCGTAGGAAAAACAAACGTTGTATGGTGCAGTGGTGGGTTGTCAGCACGACACTTCATTTCTGCTCATAAGTCCCCAAGTGCAGAGTCTTCTACACATCTGGTTCAGAGATGATCGCATTCTGCCCTAAAGGATATACTAAGATTTAATTAGCAGGCATATGTGTAAGAAGTTATCTTCTCAAAGGTATAGTTCAAAATTCATCTAGCTAGCTTAAAAGGTGCCCATGTGAGCTTTTTTGTATGTTGCCATTTTTCAGGAAGTTTTTGGTGCTAATAAGATAATGAGAGTTGTGAAGTCCTAATTTATGGCACAGTGGTTAATTTTAGTTGTGAGGTGATTTCTACACAAAAAAAGTATAAATATTGCTGATTTTGGAATGTGGGAACTCTAAGCTTGTGTACCTGTCCGTTGAAATGGCCTAGTCAGAATTTATTTCTATAGCAGCCATTAGCCAGAATGACTGTCTGGGCCATTTACAAAATCAAACTATACAAATAAACACAATATACAACAAATCTTTAAAATCAAATATAAATACAACAATAAAACAAACAATAAAATATAATTGAATAAGAACTTGGGATTTAGAATAAAATCTCTCCTTTTTAAGCTATTAGGACCCAGAATTTTAGGAAATTCTATTTCCTATTCAGCTAGAAATTCTCTGCCTAACAATATTTTTACTACACATTATTATGATGTGATGCCACATATCTAAAAAATGAATGAAAAAAATATTTCTGTTACTGAACCTTGTTAACACAAAACTGAAATTGAATCCACCTATAGCCATTTTGATGTATGTTTTGTTTTGGTGATCAGTATAGGTAGTTACTGGAACTATAGTTTGAAAACACTCTGCAAAGGCCCAATCTGTAAATAGATCTACCTGTAATTGACAAGCTCCTACATCTGCTTTCCTTTCTAATACTGACTGACTGAAAGTTTTCTGGGAGTCATTCTGCAAGAACTATCTCACAAGGGACTGCTTTTTAAAGCTAAAATGGAATAAGAGAAAAGAGCCATACAGACTTCTGAGCTCCCAGGGAATTGAGAACTTGATACAAGCAATAATGAACAACATAAATACCTTATAGAACATGTTCCAAAGAGGCTGGCAACCCCACGGTGTTTAGTGGGGCTTATTCCGATTTAAGTGTTGCAGTCTTTATGGTCCTTCAAAATGAATCAGTATGCAAACACATGTTTTCAGAGTCTCTCTTGCTGGATGAAATCTCCCATCTGTGAAGTTGCCAAAATCCAAACTTGAGCAGCTTTTGGACATGACATAAAAATTAACTGTTTGGTTTCCTGAACTTGTGCTAGCAGGTGGGTGAACTTTAATGAAACTGTGCAATTTGAATTTTATTCATTTTATTTCAAATGCTTTTTAGTTACTACCCAGCCCAGAGCCAAATCTTTCATTGGGTGATTTGGGGCAAGGTGTCCGCAGTATGCAGGTGGCACCCACCTCATTCATCTGGATCAAGCGAGTCTATGTGCGTTCTGAGCCTGTAGCTATATGCATTTATGGCTTTGACGAGGTCTAATAAACTGAAGATGAATCTCAGTCTATAAGGTAGATTGATGAATCTCAATCTACCTTATAGATAGGCAGTTCTCAGCTCCAGGAACTGAACTGTTCGCCTGTTTTGGCTGGGCTTGCTCTCCCTCTGAAAGGCAGATACATAGCTTGGAAGTTCTCGTGGGCCCAGTTTTGCCAATGGAGGCTCACTGGTAATGTAGTTCAATGACATCTAGAGGACAAGAAGTTTCCCCATTTCTGTCCTAAACTCACCTCTGCGACCCCACCCCCTTTCCCGTCGCATTTTCTTCTCCCATCACAAATGGCATTTCTGGCCCGTAGCGCTCCTTCTGTCACTGCACCCCCAAACTCCATTCATTCCTAGCAAATGCTGGTGATCTACAAGATCACAAGCTCGCTCTTTCTTTGCCCAGAACACAACACGGTTCCGCTTGATTTGTGGCTTCTTTCAGCCAATCAGGAAGCCTTCTAGCAAAGGAACTGCAATAGACGGGGGTTGCGGGGCGGGGAAGCAGGAAAAGAAATTCTGTTCCAGAAGAGGAAGAAGAATTAAAGAAGGGGGCAAGTCATCTCGCGTTGTGGCTCCGCCTCCAGAGAGGGTGGTTTCTGTGCAGCGGGGTCCAGAGCGGTGAGCGAGTCTTTCTCAGCTGCACGGAGGTAAGTGCAGACAGGCTACCGGCTCCCCACCCGCACCCCACGCGCGATCCCAAAGAGATCCGGAACCCCTTCCCATCCTTTAATCCCCAATGAACCATCCTGATTGTTAAAGGCACTCCGACATTAAGGAAAGCCTAAAGCCCTTCCCGATCCCCTCATTTCAATGGGATCTCTATATTTCCCCCATTCCAACATGCACGCACGGACGCACGCAAACACGCACACACAAATCATGCGACATTTTCCCTTCCCACGCGCTCGTCTTACCTGGCCCTGCACAACCCCAGCATCTTTGTGGAAAGGAACGTGGATGTTTCCCGGGCCTGCCCCCCACGCCCCCATTGAATACTCTATTACGCCATCCTGTTGTCAAAGTAATCCTGCTTGCTGTTAAGGGATCTCTTCTGTGCATGATCCTAGTTGGGGTCCCGCTCTGCTGCTGCTTGGAGTCTTCTGCAAAACCGGCGTAGAGGCCTGTACTCCACCTTATCTTTTCCAAAACTTTCGCCCCCCACCCCTCGTTGCTTTAAAGACCCCCCTTTTTTTCCTACCCATGTATCCCATCCTTATGCAGTCTTCCCATCAAGCTTCCTGAAAAAGCACTCTCTGAGTTCTTAAATGTTGCTTTTCCGTAGCGAGAGGGCACAGTATCTTGCAATCTATTAGCCTCCACCATCTTACCCCTTTTCCTACCTCAGCTGTTGCTGCTACTCAAGACTTAAATGCTACTCTCTTACAAGATCATGGGATGGAGGCAGGAGTTTGGACTCTCTTGGTGTCTCTGGAAAGAAAAAAATTCAACGTGCTTCATCTCAAGAACTGGATTCTGTGGATGAAGGGACTGGGATCTGATCATATTGGGTGGGGGCAAGGAGGGAGAGTGGGGAGGGAGGGGGAGAGAATAGTTTAGAAAAGTTGGGCTGCGAGCCAAAGCTCCCAAGTATTCTGGGAAAGAGGAGAGTGAAAGAGTTGGTTGAAAGAGTACGACAAGCGACAGTTAATAATCCCTGATATGTGTAGTCATGTTGAATGGACCTAGCACAGTGCGATTAAGTGTGAGTTGTTAACCAGATGAAATGGTAACCATAATGAGAATTCATGATTTGCTGTTGGGTTGTTTAAACCATGGGTTGTTACTTAGAACCGCGAGTCATTCATGAGTTATTTTGCGAGGCGACAGAGGCATCAGGTAAGAGGGGACAAAATCCCCTAGCTACTCTATATGCCAGTACTACAGTGGCACAAAAATGTGTGGGATACAGGAAGGGAGTGGGCGAAGAGAGCAGAACCAAGGAATTGGAATAGCCTGCAGTTCACTGATCATCTAGAAGGCGCATGGGGGGTTAATTTGGGGTAATGTGTAAAGCAGGTCATTCTTATGAGAAGGGAAGAGTGGGGAGCTAAGATCCCAAACAATTCTGAAACTCCACCTGGCACAATGATTCTGAGGATTACCAAGCTGCTTGATGTGATTCCCCTTTCTCTAGGCTGGACCCTGAGCCTCTAATCCCCTTGGTCCCAGCTTCCATCTGCTCAGCACCATGCCACTCGCCCGCAGCCTCTCGGTGACCTCTTTGACGGGACTGGAGGACTGGGATGATGAACTGGACCTGGAGAACGCCATTCTTTTTGAGGTGGCTTGGGAAGTGGCCAATAAAGGTAAGCTATGGCTTGGTTTGTTTTGAAGCTTTTCTTAGGAAAAGTGGTGATAGTTTTTAGTTTAAGACACTTGGTTCGTGTGGCCTGGTGTTGTCAACACTGGCTGGCAGTGACTTTCAGGCAGGAATTCTTCCTACACTGCTTTGAAATGCCAAGGATTGAACCCGGGCCTTTCTGCTGTGATGCTGCCGTGCCGTGATAGAGCACAGACATCTTCCTGAAGTTTTGATGGGCTACTGGCCAGAATGCAGAATACCTTGGTGTTCTCTTGATGGTGGCAGGATAGGAACTGGGGTGGGTGCGAGCCAAGAGGTGTGAGGAACTCATTATAACCAAAGTTGTGTCAAACATGTAAAGATACGTTTACGTGCTTGTAAAGGCCCAGCCTTTAAGCATCATCTGGAGATGGGACCTACTGGAGCATGGTGAGAATGGAGTAGAAGCAAGCAAGCCAAGACTTGTAAGTTTCTCAGGATGTGTCAGGAGGTAGAGCAAAGAATGTTGGAAAGGCAGAATCCTTGGGAGCGTGTTATAATGGACCTCTGTAGTCCCTTCCAAGCCACACTGCTCACCAGTGCTTAGGCCAGTCTTCCCCAGACTGGCGCCCTCCAGGTTTGTTGGACTACAGCTCCCAGCACCAGGGGAAGGCACCAGGGGAAGACTGATTTAGACATTGCTCCCCCCCCATTTACCAATCTTGGGCCCTCCCAGTTGTAAAATCTCCATTGCATTAACACTGCCTCAGATCTTCGTTAAGCCACTGAGATCCAGATGCAGCCATTTCAGGCTGCTTCCTGCTATCCTAATGTGATGGCGTCGGGCCAGTGCTCCTTGGATGAGGGCAAGAGGCCTTGCTAGGAATTCCCCTGGATTCTGGATATTTGCTTATACCATTGCAGTGCTAGGGGAACTGTTCCACTTTTCTCTTTTAAGGGTGTAAATCCTTTTTGAAGTTAAAGTTCTCCTTGTTCTCTGAGGTTTCAGCACATGTTGTGCGCACCCATCTGGACTTCCACACAAGGTTGAACTCTACCTTGTATGTTATTATATGTACACAGTGTGCTTCAGTTTCATAAGAAGCTGACTTCTTGAAATGTCCCAAATATCTTTTTCTCTTATAACTTTTTATTTGAGTGCAAAAATGCCGAGAATACAAAAACAGAGAAAATGGATGTCTCTGAATGAAGGATGGAGGGACTGACAAGACCCCAGTGCACTGTCCAGTTTCATGATTCTACCATGTCATTGGAAATGCACTACCTAATACAAAACTTAGCTGGGATCCTGCAAACCTTGGCTTTCATTTGGAACAAAATCAAGTTGCTAGTCCACATGGGATTAGCAAGTAGCATAAAAATGTGTAAAGCAGGGCAGACGACTAGTGGTCTTCCAAATGTTTTCACTTAAACTAACATCATCCCTCACCATTAGCAAGGGTGGCTAAGGCTGATGGCACTGAGCCAAACTATCTGGAGGGTCACAAGTTTCCTACCCTTGTGTCTCCTCAAAGCATGGAAACAATTAAGTGTCTGCAGTGACTTCTTCACGTGCTTCTAAACTGTGTGCTTTATGTATTGTTCCCTAACCTCATTAACCTAACCTGTTCTCACCTTGTCACCAACCAGGTATCTGCTGGGCCTTCTATTTAGCAGTCCACTTCACACCCTCCCTGTCAGTTTTCACCCCTCCCAAAAGTTAGTTAGCATCCTCAATCCACCCTCCCCAAGGATTTTTTTCCCTCCAAAATTGTGTTTGCACTTCTGTAACCTTGCCGCTTTCCCGCAAGTCTGTTAAAGCCACTTATACTTGGACGGCAGCATTTTGGCTACATTAGGACTGGCGCTCGGAGAACTGAGATGGTTGTTGTGGTATATATGGTCAACTTTTGAAAGTTTGGCAGCAATAGCAATATTAAAGTACATCTTCCATTATCTCAGGATCAGCACATTCTTCGGATTGATTAATCCAGAACACACAGCCTTGGCCACATAGCGTGAGAGTCTTTGGGAAGGATGGAGCAGGGGCTTTTCTGAAGCATATCAACACCAGGACGTGAACAGGGATTCTGATGGTCACAATCTCACAACAAGCATGCTCTGTGACTTAGCAGTGCAGCAAACTCAGGAAGGGACAGGCAGAGGGTCAGTCAGGCTCCTCTGATAGCTCTCCATGTGATTTGCAGCAGATCAGCAAAGGTTTCTCACTTCTCAGTGGTTTTAGAGCTGCAACGAAGAAGGGTCTTTTCTCTGTGTTTGTGTGCTCCTCCTGAACTGAGCTAATGAAATCAAGAAAGTTAGTAGGAAAAGTTTCTGTGTGCAAAGATGTATATGGAAGATCCAGACTGGCGCTGCAGGAGGCAGGACTGAAGCCAGTGGGGATGTGGACAGAACCAAATGCGGACAGGCCGGCCTTTTCTCTCTCTGCCACCCTCTTCTCTTTTTCTATCTGTGCCACTCCCTTCTCACTCTCTCCATTAGTCTCTGTGCAGCCACCATTTCTGCTTCTCCCTCTTCCTCTCCATGCAGTGAACTGCCAGAGAAGCTTTAGCTCCCACTTGCCAAAGGTCTGAATTTTTCACAGGCAGAGCACTTCTAAAATCAATTCAAGGGTGAAAGGGGATGGAGTGTTTAAACAATTTCTGGACTTCTTCTCAGATGACCTTTGTTCCTTAATTCTGTGTCCACCTTCTTGAGCCACCATTTTGAATTGGGTGGACCTTGGAGTTCTAGAGAAAAACAAAGAGGAACCTAAAATCTGTGAACCTAAAATCTGTCCATCTTGAAATGCTCTGCTGAATGTGCCACCACCAAGGGAAGTTCAGTTGGTGGGAACATGGGATGAGGCCTTTTTCGTGGCACTCCGCCTTTGCCTCTCTTTCCCAAAGGAAATTCAGTTGGCCATGTCTTAGCTCAGTTTTTGGTGAACTATTATAAATTGTTGTTTTGTAAAGCTTTTTAGTATGTTAAGATTCCATTCCAGGGCACACTGTGCTTTGACTAAGACTCATCAAACTCAGCGGGGCATACTCTTGGATAGACATATAAGGAATCACACAGTACATCACCTAGTTATGCACTCTTCTTTTAGGGTCCTCTCTTGCTTTCAGTTTCTGCTCTTGATGCTGTTTAAAAGTGTTTAAATAGTGGAAAGTTTTTTTAAAAAATTGAAACTGTTTTAACTGTAAGAGGGGTTATCTGGGCTGAAAGGTGACTTATGAACTTATAAATAACATTTCTGATCTAGAAGTGCCTTCCTGAATCATCTTGAATTTAACAGCAGTGCTTTTAAAGAAAACATTTCAGTGTTGCTTGCATAGTGGCAAGATTGGTACTTCACCTCTGCCCAAGAGAGATTCCTGTTTTGGGCCTCTTGGAATAGAAAGGAGTTGGAAAAGGCTGGGCCACACACACATCTGTGATTGCCAAATTGGGCTCTAACATTGTAGCCCATAGAAAGAGAAAAAAGCTGCCTCCTTCTCTGTAGTGATGCTTGTGCAATTTCACGGAACTTTTTCCCTCCTTCTTAGTCTTTTCAACAATATATGTTACATTCTGTCACTGTCTGCTATAGGCCTCTTGGAATTTTTTGTTCTCAATTTCACTTGCTCTTAAACGTCATTATTTTATATATTTATTTCTATCGAGCAGCTTTCCCCAGATAAAGCCTTCCAGATAGTTTGGATAAGAGGACAATAGTTCCCAGCATACCTGACCGTTGGACATGCTGGCAGAGGCTGCTAGACACTGAAGTCTAAAATGACTGGATGGTACCAGGTTAGAGACAGCTGATAGCATCTGGCCTGTCTTTAGAGATAAAACGGCCTAAATGCAATAAAAATACAATGATGCAACAAGTGCAATTCTAACCAACAAGATATGGCAGTGAAAACTAGTAAATAGATAAACATACGAAAAGAGCAGATAAAAGATCTAATTCCATTAACAGGCCAAGAGCCAAGCAAGTGTGGCAAGATGAAAGTATCTGGCAGGAAAATTTGAGCATTGCCCACAGACTCTGGCTGCCATACTGCAGTAGTTATAGGCATGACTTCTAAAGGCAGGGAGCTCTGAATATCTTAATATAATATCCAGTATCGTTATTATTTCTTATTTTTACACTATCAGCGTGCCAGGCACTTTACAAAGTACAAAAAGTCAGGTCCCTGGCCCGAGGAACATAAAACTAAAATCTGACACAGCGGAACCAATAGAGGAAGGGGTGTGACCAGAAAAGCCATCTGTGCTTGTTTCAGCTTGGCTCCAGGCTGACTTCCAGGATCAGGGCTGTGTGCCATGGGCATCTTACGAAATGGCTGCTCGTTTCCACTTTCGAGAGAAAGTTAATTTGCATAACCTCTGTGGCAATGCCCTGCCCTGCCTTCTTCACCTGCAGTAGATATAGTAGTTTGATCCTGAGATGTCCACATCGAGAGAAGGATTGTGTGCACCATCCCATCCCAAATATACTCCCCTTCCACACCATAAATGTTGCCTTTTCTGGAGCCCTCCTGCACCACTCTCTAACAGATGCCTTTAGGCTCTTGTACCCTTCAGTGATTCATGTGGGTGTGTTTTCTTTGTTCATCTTTTCTTTTGCAACGGTCTAACTAAGAAGGGAAAGCTAAAAAACACCTATTTCCAGTTTCCATTTCAGAGAAGCATTTAGGGGCTGCATTCTAGTAGAAGAGAGTGCCAAAGGCAAAAGAGAGCGGGGCTAAGCATACAATAAGAAAGCCAGCATGGATCAGCTTAAAGTTCTTACTGCCAGTAATTAAGTCTCAGCACAGGCACTTCCAGCCTTTGGGAACCCCAGAGGGGCTTGAGGTTCTGCACCCCTGGTGGACAAACATATAGGTAGGGAAACTAACGCCACTCCTTCTCTTTTTGTAGTTGGTGGGATCTACACCGTGATCCAGACCAAAGCCAAGATTACCCTGGATGAGTGGGGTGAGAATTACTTTCTGATTGGGCCTTACCTGGAGCTGAATGTCCGCACACAGGTGGAGCTCATAGAGCCACCCAATCCCGCTATCCGCCGCACCATGGACTCCATGAACGCGAAAGGATGTAAAGTAAGAAAGGGGAGGGGCTGGGGAGGGAGAAAAGCAGCAGCTGGCCTTAGGCCACAGAGGCCTAATTCTCACTAGCAGCACCTGGCTGCCATTTGTGGGAGGGGTCCAAGCTCTGTGGTTGAGCGTGTACATTGCATGCATAAGGAAGCTCCGAGTTTAATGCTTGGAGGGGAAAAACATCAGGATGTTCAGGGATGGGACCCACAGGGCCCTTCGGATGTCAGATTGCAACTCTCATCAACCCTAGGCCGGCATAGCCAGTGGGGAGATTTATGGGAGCTGTGATCAATCAACTGGGGAGCCATAGTTTTCCAGTCCCTGAGGTCACAACATCCTTCCCCAGCCTTGGACTACATTCTCTGGCTGGGCATGATGGGAGCTATAGTGCAACATATCTGGTGGGTGTCAGTTTGAGAAATGCTGGACTTACCTCCACTATTTATTTCAAATCTGATTGCCAAATACATTGTGGTTTTCCCTACTATCATATAGACACCATCCTCTGGTAATTTCTACCTGGCAGGTGTACAATATGAACCTGCTCCCAGGGAGGGCAGTGTAGGCATTTCAGTGTTCTTTTTCTTAAATTGAAATCCAGGAGGAGGAAGATGAAAAGAAATTATTATGGTATTTTCATCCTGGTACACAGACTTGTTTATTTATCTCACAGCTGCAGGAGTTTACATTCTGAGCTTGTGTTTCTGCTCAAAACCCTGGGCAAAATTAGCTCTTGATCAGCCTCCTTTCAGTGAAGAACTTCAAGTTTCAATTAGAACTTGTTTCTCTCCTCTCTCTGAAGCACACAGGCCCACAATCCAAAAATGACACATACGAGACAAAAGGGAAGGGCTGAGGAAAGCAAGCTTAGTTTTTTTGGTAGGGCTGATGGAATGGCCTGCTTTCCACTCTCATCCCTCTCCTTCCAATGCTCTGGAATGACTGCTGGTGCTAATAAGGGAGGGAGGGGGCGTCCCCAAGAGCCTTTATACCACCTTCTAAAGATTTCTGTCCCTCTTCCACCAAAGGTAGTCTTCAGGTTGGTCATTTGTGGGCAGTTATAAGATACTCTTGACGAGCCTTCCCCAACCTGGTGTCCTCCTGATGTTTTGGACCATGGCTCCCAACATTCCTGACCATTGGTTGCTCTCAGATGCTGAGAACTGGAGCACCAAATATTTGGAGACCATTTGGTTGCCTGCCTGTGCTTTATACTATAGTCTACAGAGAGGCTGGGCAACTTCATAGGCTGTGTGTGGGAGCAGCTGAAGACAAGATCCCAAAATGAGATAGCCTGTGTAAAGGAGTGGAGCGGACAAAAGAGGAGGCCAGCCAGGGCAGAACGAATCTTAAGTAGGAATTCTACATCACAGATTTGGTAACTAGAGTTGCCCATAGACTATTCCAAGCTCTGGTTGCAGTAGACTGAGAATGAGGTGCATGTTTTCTCCTAGCCAAACAAAAAAGTGAGGCAAAGCCTGGTCAGGGCTGGTATATGTGGGGTGAAATGGGGAGAGCAGTGTGTTGAGTTTTGGCCTTTTTAGGTCTTTCAAGTCATTTGGTTCTTGTGTGCCGTACTTCTAAACTATCAAAGGCTCAGGAGCCGTGCCTGGGAGGAAAACAGTTTAATATGTGGGTGGAGCAGGAGAGAAACAGTGGTACTGTCAAAGACGTTAGATCTGAGCTAGCACAAAGAAAGCATCCCACCAGCATCCCTGTTGGAAAATAAGTACGTTGTGCAATGCGGTGTCCTTCCTGTGTGCCCACCGCTGTGTAGGAACTGAGTATTAAACCTTCTCACTTAGCAGAGGTGCCAGTGCCATGATCGAGAGTCACGTGATTCGTTCCAGTGATGGGAACAGAGAGGGCTACCTTGTTACAGCCATTTGTCCATCTACCCAATATTGCTTCCTCTGACTGATGGCATCTTTCCAGGATCTTGGCTAAAGTCTCTTCCTGTCATCCTGCTGATGATTCCCCTCCCTGGAGTTGAGAATGAGCTTGAGTTCCTCAACATGCAAAGCAAGAGCCTGCCACTGACATATGCCTCATAAGGACTACAAACATTTAACAATAATAGTCAAGAGATGACAAGAATTGGAGGCTTTATGGCCCATGCATCTGTTTTATTATAGGACAGCCCTCAGCAGTGGGGGATCTTCCTATGGAAAATGTATCTTCCCCATGAGATGATCTTTGATTGCCAGTTCCCATCAGCCCCAACCAGCATGGGCAATGGTCAAGAACAGTGGGAGTCCAGCAGGCCACAGGTTCTTCGCCAGCTGTAAAGGCACTGAAACATTACATGAGCCAAGACACTGTATGACTTACAAATCAAATACCATATGTGTAAGGGCATACGTAAAGCATGGTGTCCAGTTGGACTACAGCTCCTATCATCCCATAGGTAGGGATGTTGGGAATTGAACTGAAACATATCTGAAGAGCATCAAATTTGGGAAGTGTGCTATAAAGGGTTAACACTAATTGGATGCTTCCCAGTTACTCAGTACCTCTATTGTCATACAATGTATTGGTGTTCCTACACATAACAATAAGCCAGAATGCCAGTTCTATCATGAATGAGCAGCATGCTAGGGCGTGTAGTCCATTTGGTCCAACTTTGCTCTTCCCTTCATGTGAGCAGGTAAATGTAATCAGAAATGGACAGTTTATTGTTCTGCCCAAAGCCAAGATCCTGATTTGTTCCTCCAGCAAGCCAGAATGGTAAGGCAGCAACAGCATAGTATCCTGCTCTGAACAATCAAGGAACCGAGGTTGATTGGCACAGCTGCAGCTGGATTCAGTGCAGGCAATTGCCGTTTTGGACATGCAACTTCCAGTTGGGGTTGTGCCATTTTGTGCTACTCTGGCTGCTGTGGGTTATTGGAGGGTGAAAATAACCCTTAGGGCTAGTAGTAGTGTCATGGGAGCGTGCATTTGGTAGGAAAGCACCAGTATTAGGAACAACAACAGAACTGCAGAATATGGGTGTTGTACCTATTTAATTTGTACAAATGAAAAGTAAGGGGATTCCTTTTACTGGCTCCTCTTTAGCTAAACACCCCACCCCCAACCCCTTCTGACCAGGAAGGCTATTTCTAACTGGACAGTTATTTTGAGCAGCTCAGCAAACAACAGCACCCGCCAGTCGACCTTTTGCAAGATGGAGTTGGGAGTAATATAAACCAGAGGCTAAAATTAGACACACAGCCATACTCTCACGCACATGAAACCATCCCCCTGCCCTGTGGGTCCGACAGAGGGGATGATGACCAAGTGAGGCTTACTTAGTTAAAAGAAAGGGGGAAACATCTGGGAGATGGAGGGCAAAAATGACTTTTCTAGTTTTAAAATGGGATTCAGGAGGACAAGAGCTTGGAGGCTGATAAGTAAGGAACCACAGGCCTTAATTTGAATCAAGGAGGGTCCCCTGTGTTAGAAACAGGTTTTCTTGTGCATACACAGAAGTAGGATATTGATTCTTTTAATAAATAAACAGTTTGGCATTTGAACAAGGAATTAGTTTCATGAAATTCTGTGGAGAATTTGGTGGTCCCATATACTATAGAGCATTGACCTTGCAGCACTTGATTTCCACATAAAAATGTATGTGGAGGTATGTTTCTAGGCCTCATGGTAAAAAAGTGAAAAATTTGAACATTGATAGTAACCTTACGCAACCTTGTGTCTACCAAATGTCCTGGGCTACCAGCACTCCTGGAAATACAGGGTAGGACTGATAGTAGTTGAAAACTAAAACTTCTGAAAGACACCAGGCTGGGAAAGAGCGATATTTAGACCCAATCAAAAGTATAAGGTTGCATTTGGATAGGACTTACTTTGCCCCCTAACTTTTATTCTCTGGCCCTAATCTCTCTTGCTGCCCTCCATCTATTGAATATGTTGTTTCATGCAGAGTATCTGCAGTCTCTGGGCAAAATATTTGGTTTCAGCTCTAATAATTTATTCATCTATCTGAAACGCAACTTCTTGGATATTTTTGAAGTGAAAATAAAGTGTGCACATTGCTAATCTGATTGTTGCAATTTTAAAATTCTATACTTTGGTGGTTGCGTTTTACAGAGGAACTCTGGAGTAGCTAACTATGTGCGTCTGTACCTCCCTGTCGGCTAATCTGCTACACGTCACACCTGTCCAGGTTTATTTTGGTCGCTGGCTGATTGAGGGGGGACCCTATGTGATTCTCATTGATATTGGGGCCACAGCCTGGAGCTTGGATCGTTGGAAGACGGAACTGTGGGAAAGCTGCTCTATCGGAATTCCCTGGTATGATCGCGAGGCCAACGACGCCGTTCTCTTTGGCTTCCTCACGGCCTGGTTTCTGGGGGAGGTAAGGAGAGAACTTTCTACAGATAATGTCCGCTGCATCTTCCCTGAACCGCCCCCCCCCCCGCACTCAATATATTTATTTATTTATTATTTGCATTCATATGCCACCCTAATAGCCCAGAGAGCTCTCTGGGTGGTTTACAACATTAAAACCCACTGATCCTAAACAAACAAACAAATTATCCATACCACGACTGTATAAAATAAAATAGTTGAAATAAATCAATAAAATAAATAAATAAATATCTACTTACTCTGTGTTTTTGGAACAGTTTGCTGCTCAGTGTGAAGAGAAGCCGTTCATCATTGGTCATTTCCATGAGTGGCTGTCTGGAGTTGGGCTTTTCCTCTGTCGGATCCGTAAACTTCCAGTGGCAACCATCTTTACCACCCACGCCACCTTGCTTGGACGCTACCTGTGTGCAGGCAGTGTGGACTTCTATAACAATCTGCCAAATGTGAGTCTTCCCATGGCCAGGAGTTAGACGCAAATTGAGGTGGGGAACTGAGGGATTCAGGGATGAGCGGAGACACCAGAAACGCTTTACTAGTCAAGTCCGTTCTAGAGGCTCGAGTGCTGTTCTGAAGTCATCTAAGAGCTGAGAACTTCTCCCTTGATTAACTTTGTATAACCTCACTCTCAGATATTCCTATCTCCTATTTTTTCCTATTCTAAATCCGTAGAGGACAAGCTACAGGTTCTTAGCTGCTCCTTGCAACCACAAAACCTCCAGGTGCCATGCCTGTCCCTCTCCATCAACCAGCCATCGGCCAGAGGCAAGGACAGAACCCTGTTTTCCTGTTGCTGTTAGCAGTGGAGAAATTGCAGTCTTCATGAGGATCCATACAGAGGGATGGAAGTGGCTATAACCTCTGCCCTTACAACAGCTCTTCTCAATTTTTCTGCTCCCTCACTCCTATTCCAGTCGACACCGAATCGATTCTTATCTTTTAGACCCCTTATTCTTGGGGACTCTCCAGACAGTGCCTTTGGCACAAAAATGGTGCAGTCCTTGCACAAGATCCGGATGTCAAGGTGGAGCTTAAGGAAATTGGATTTATTCAACACTCAGAGCATTTTTGCTGCAGCAAAAATGTGTTTCTCCTATGACCTTTGTGATTGAGAATTTGTGGGTTGTTTGTTTACTTGAATGTATTAGACAGTGTCGGTGATGTTACCAGAGATAGATACAACAGCATTTCCTGTTTCACAGATCTTTTGCTTTTCCTCTTGTTTAGCTTCTTTGTGTGTTCCATGTCTCCAGAGACAAAGTAAGGGTTTGGAAGTTAGGTAGGGGTTGGGAGAGTAGCAATGAAAGAGATGAAACTACATTTAAGATAGAACTGGGCAACTTCTTAGGGCGCTAGCATGTTCCTTCCCCAAAGGAAGGCCAAAAATCACTGAATTGCCACCAAATTTCAGCAACAAACTTCTCTGTAGCACTGCAGAGCACTGCAATGGCTATGCTTGGCTTGAAGTGGCATGCAAGCAAGATAAATTTCGCCCTTTGGCCACACTGGACTAATTTGGCTCTTTGGACACATTTTTTGCTCCAAAAGATGGGGAGGCAGCAGGTACTGTGCCAGGTGGTGGGGGCCATGTGTGGCCCTCATATTGCCCAGCCTGGATTTGGAGTGAGGAAATATTTGCAAAGCTATTCACACAAAACAGAGCTTTTCTCTGAATAGCACAGGAGGCTTCCCTAACCTTCAGGCTTAATCCCATTTCATCGGGACTGGATATAGCACTGTGAGGGAAGTGCAAGAGGATTTCGCAAGGGTAAAAATAAAATTTGCGTGAGATCTGCTTCTTAGGATGCTGCAGAAAAGCACTAAGAGATTCATCACTCAAACCATAGGATGTTATATTTGTTTGCTGCTAGGATTATGTCATTTCTACCATCCAGCCTCTATCTGCCCTTTTCCATTCTTTGGATTTTTAGCATGTGGCATTTAATGCTATTTCTCTTAACCTACTTCAGTTTAACGTGGACAAGGAAGCAGGAGACCGGCAGATCTACCACCGTTACTGCATGGAGCGTGCAGCTGTCCATTGCACACACGTTTTCACCACTGTCTCTCAAATCACAGCTGTGGAAGCTGAACACCTGTTGCAGCGAAAGCCTGGTGAGTGGCAGGATGGCCTAGTGGTCACCATTTTCATGGCAAAAGCCCACATGGTCCTGAGTTGCAGCTTCTTGACTAGCTCTTGGTTTGCTACAGCCCAATGGAAGGCTTCATGGAGTCTAATTTCTGGTGTAGAGTTTAGATTCTTAAGCATGCTTTTTAATTTATTTTCAAAGTTCTAGTCCTGATTTTTAATGTTGCTACATGATGTAAAACTTTGGGTACATTGTAAGGCGTAAGCTACAAGAATTTTGTATGGATGTACCATTACAAGGAACAAACTCAAGACATGCCTGTGCTTTTTTTTTGCAACCCAAGTCAGTTATGAACAGCAGGAATGGGCAGACTTGAAGTCTGTGGGATCTTAGAACCCCCAACGTCCATCAGCTAGAGCTTGGTGCAGAAGACATTCAGCTGGAATGAAACAACTCTGAGCCCAGGAATTTGTTTTGAATACTAGAGCCTCCGTTCGGAGGCTTCCAGCCTTGGAAATTCACAGTCCTTCCAGCCTGGCATACAACAGAGTAGCCCTTCTTCCTGTGATATCACGAGAAAGTTTGTTGTCCAGACCAGCACAATATTCTTTCTTCCACCCTGCCACATCCACTGATTCAGCATTTTATTTCTTGAAAAGTATAACTCTCCGTTCTTATTTTATTTATTTATTTGTTTGTTTAGTAAACTTCTATGCCGCCCCATTCGCCGAAGCCTTGGGGCGGCTCACAGACATAAATGAACTTCGTTAAAATAATATAAATTAACAGTATAAATTAAGTCGCCCTGGCCGAAGAATAAAATAAATAAATACTATTAACAGTTAAAATGACATTTGAATAAAAAGGTCTTTGCCTGGCGCCGAAAAACAAATGACGGCAGCGTCAGGCGGACCTCTCTGGGGAGCGCATTTCATAGATTGGGCGCCACCGCAGAGAAAGCCCTCCTCCAAGTACTGACCCTCCTAATTTCCTTCACGGAGGGTTCCCGGAGAAGGGCCTCTCCCGCAGATCTCAGGGGGAGGGCGGGCATATATGGACGTTCTTATTATAGGTTTGTATGAGACAGTAGCACTATGATTCTTGTGGGGGAAGGAGTGTATGTTTTCTATGTACCTTGTCAAGTTGAGCAGGTACAAAACCTTAAAGCAAGGGTACAGAACCTCAGGCCCCGGTTCCCACTCTGGCCCACCTGGGCTTCCCTGAGGGACCCATCCCTTTCCCCAGCCACCAATATTTGGTGACCTTCTGGCTTTTGCAAAGCTTTTCCCCATTCTAAATTATTGAAATGTCTCTCCTAAGACTGCTAGTAAGTTCAACCAGTGAGCTTTAAGCTGAACTATCTGATAAAGTGGGCCGTAGCCGTAAGAGTGTTTGACCAGGGCTCAGGAGATCTGGGTTCTAGTCTCCACTAAATTTGGAACAAAACTGCAGAATCCATCCTTCTAGCATTTGTGAGCCGTCATTCTTGGCTCAGAAAATGAGCTGAGGCTAGAGGAAGTCCACGAATGCTCACAGAATAATGGTTGTGCAACCACCAACCTCCTTCTGCTTCACATCACGTCCGGCGGCACCAAAGCTTCTGCATGTGACACAGAAAAGGGGATGCTACTTATACAGTGTGTGGGGCTCAGTTCCTGAGAAATACCATGCAAATGTTGGCTGCTTTGTCAAGAACTCAGACAAAACATGAGAATCTGGAGAGCCGAGCCCAGGAAATCCAATGGATTCCCACCTCCAAAGCAGATTTTCACACGTTTTTCACTGGGTGACTTCTGGTCTGTCTCTGACTCTCAGCCTAATCTACCTCACAGGGCTGTTGTTGTGGGGATAAGATGGAGGAGGAGAATGATGTAAGCTGCCTTGAGCCCTTTGTAGGAAAAAGGCAGGATATAAATAAATAAGCAAGCAAGCAAGCAAGCAAACAAACTGCTGGCATTTTTGATGAATGGGTGCTCTAGTCCTGCCCATGTGAAAGCTTTGAAATGGAATTCAGCCCTTGAACTGAAAGAGGTTCTAGAACCGTATTTTAAAATGACAAAATAACATTTCCTGCCTCTTTCATCTTCTCGCTGCCGTTCCACATCCAGATATTGTGACTCCCAACGGTCTGAATGTCAAGAAGTTCTCTGCCATGCATGAATTCCAGAACCTCCATGCACAGAGCAAAGCACGTATCCAGGAGTTTGTTCGAGGTCACTTCTATGGGTGAGTTCTTCTGGACATCGCACAGGACATAATCTCGCCTCGCCAGGGTCTTCCTTGTTAGTTAAAATGGCTACCTCGTGAGCTGAGCTTTGAAGGAAAGGTGGAGGCAGGAGCGAGTGGCAGCAGGTGTGGGGAGAACACAATGTTGTCAAACTTGCAAAATTTTAAAGGTGAGGAATAGGTCTTGCCCCGTTAATCCCCTTCAGTCTTATTGTTGCTGCTGTTCACATTGTTAAAGATGGAAGAGAGGAAATGGAGAGATTGTTCTTTTAGCAGAGGCAGTCTACAGCCTAAAATGAGTGAATTTGTTTTATATATTTGTTAGAACAAAGATCAGCAACTGGCGTGGCTGAAGGGTCAAATAGAGTCAGTGCATAAGAGCAGCGAAATCTCTTTTCTGGTCCTCTGTGGCTAGCCTTTGCCTTCATAGCTGAGAGCAAGAAACCAGAACAAAAGCATTGCTCTGCCTTTTAATGACTGATTTTCCTCTCTGTCCTTCAGTGTTTACATCTCAACCATTCACTCTATGATCAGTCAGTGATTCCCTTATGCGAGGTGACTAATCATAGACGCAAAAGATTCTGGGATATTATCTGAAGCATCCTCTTGGAACCCTGACGTGAAACTGCAAAGCAGCCTAAGAAATTTTGACAACCTGGAAGTGGGAATTTGATATCCATACAAAAAGGAGTAGCAATAAGTTAATGGCTTCCAAAAGCCATTCTAGACTTTGGAATATACCTCTTCAGATAGGGATATTGTCCCTGAAGGAAGGAACCATTGATTCTTTTGTTTTGTTTTCTAATTCACCCCTGGCATTTTCTTTTCTCCTTCCTTCCTCTCCTGTTCCTCGCTCACTCTTTTCCATTATCGCATTGTCAGCCTGCAGACATAGCTCTGTCTCTTTTTGTTTTTCTTGCCTTGTTTTAATAATTTGTATGGCGCCTCGTTTCCTGAAAGCACTTAATAAATAATACATCTTTGCTGGGAGGGGTTGTGCTGACTCTGGAATTTTTAAAAACTTTTTATCCTTTGAACAGAAACACATGGATAAACTACTTTGAAATAGCTGTGTCTTAAAATGGTTTTTCAGGCTGCATGTGAGCAGGAGAGGTTGGGTGAACACTCCTGTTTTAACCAGCCTTCCCCAGCCTAATACCTCCAGATTAGTTGGGCAGCTGTTCCCAGATGATGGAGTTAGTCTGGAGAGCACCAGATTGGGAAAGGCTGATATGAATAAAGGCCATATTTATGACTGTCGTTGTTCTGTAATGTTTACTTTGTGTGGCCTCTGAGAGGCTGTATTGTGTCTGAACAGGCCTGAAGCCTTTCTTTGTTACCATGAAAACCCTTTTCAGTGATATTCTGGAGGAGAGAGAGAATTTCTTTGAAAATGTTTAGATGGGGTCTGAATGCGTTAAATTCAATTTTGATAGGCTGGGGATTATAGCTAGGTAGAAAAGAGAAATGGTGATGATGATGTATAGAAATAACACTGGATGAGATTGCAAAGCAGTTGACTGCAGCTATACTTCCTAAAAGAAACGTATCTTTGAAGTAACTGATCAGTTCTTCTTTCGTTAGTGTCAACTGTCTCTGGCCAGACTTTGCTGTCCAGTAATAAAAGTGTATTATTTGGAGTGAGGCAAGACTTGGGATGGCACTGAGCTTCCCCTTCCTGCTACTCAGGAAACACAGATTCATCCCCACCTCTCCCTTTTATTCTGCTAGGCACCTGGACTTCAACCTTGACAAGACCATTTTTTTCTTCATCGCTGGACGCTATGAATACTCGAACAAAGGGGCTGACATTTTCTTGGAAGCTCTGGCCCGGCTTAACTATCTGCTGAGGGTAAATAAAGAAATGGGTGGGGTGTTCTTTGGGAGAGCAAGAAGAGGGAATTGACTGATTTAGTGTGGCCTTGCGGAGAAGGAAGTAGCTTGTGGAATCGCTAGTTCCAAATTCTGCTGTTAATTTCTGGTCTTCAGGCTTCCATGACAGCAAAAAGGGGAACCTGGCCCATGATGGCCTTTTGACAAGCCTGCTTTGGCTGGAATGATACACTTGAGGGGACACTATGAGCTTGGGGTGGAATGGGGAGCATGCATAAAGCAAAGAATAGGACCCAAACACACACTTGTGTTTAGTGCAAATGCCAAAAGCAATAAAGCTGGTGTCCAGGGACCTCTGAGCAAAAGGTCAGCCAGAAGCAACTTTCTGGATTTCCTTTCCTGTGTACATGGTGGTGGAGATGGGAGTGTGAGGCAAGAACAGGAAGAGGAGGCCCCGGCTGACGATCCATCCTCTTTTGGCTTCTCTCCTTGCAGGTGAACGGCAGCCAGACCACAGTGGTGGCGTTCTTTATAATGCCAGCCCGTACAAACAACTTCAATGTTGAGACTTTAAAAGGCCAGGCTGTCCGCAAGCAGCTCTGGTGAGTTCTCCTCATTCTTCAAGAGTCCTTGCACGTCCAAGCAGCCCCTCGCAAGAATTGCTCCCTGCAGGGATTGGGAATTTTAGCATATGTAGCATCCCCTGCTTCAAAATCCATCAGGCCTTGCTTTTTTCCCCAGGAAGTGCTGAAGTCCAGACACTACCTCCAACCTGAGACTGAATAAGCTCTCTCAGAAGAGGAAATCCAGAACCCCGGAGCTTTTCCCTTTACTTGCCTTCTTGATTGAGAACCACACATGAATCCTAGCCTCTGTTTTAATCACCTTGTTTATATCCCCTTTCTATATCTGTTTGTTTGTTTATTTAATTCCAGGGATACAGCTAATGCAGTGAAAGAGAAGTTTGGCAAGAAACTCTATGAATCGCTGCTGGTGTAAGTGGCCTCCTATGATAATTGCTGATTAATTTAGTTTTTAAATTATATTTCTATGCTGTCTTTCTGAAGCAGTCCAAGGCGACTTACAAAAATCTCAGAAAATAAAAACCATAATCAAGTGAAAGCATAATAGATCATTACGAAATGCTTGCAATAGTTAAAAAAAACAAATGGAAAAGGTGTGTCTTTATCCCACTCAGCATTCCTTAGCCTACCATGCTGCTGGCTGGGGAATACTGGGAGTTATAGGACTTCATTTTGCCTAAACATGCATAGAATCGGGACATTCAAGCTTAAAAGCAGCACCCTGAATTGAGCCCAGCCAACCCTTAGAAAAAGGGTGGTGCAGTGGGTTAAATCAGTGGGCTGGTTGATCAAAAGGTCGACAGTTTGAATCCGCAGATGGGGTGAGCTCCCCTACTCTGTCCCAGCTCCTGTCAACCTTACAAATCAAGTAGAGAAAAAGGTACCACTTTGGTGGGCAGGTAACAGCGTTCTGCGCACCTCGGTGTTTAGTCATGCCGGCCACATGGCCACAGAGTCTGTCTGCGGACAAACGCTGGCTCCCTCGGCCAGGAAACGGAGATGAGCACCGCCCCCAAGAGTCAGGCATGACTGGACATTAATGTCATGGGGAAAGCTTTACCTTCAGCCCTTAGAAATGAGTTGGCCAAAAAAGGTGTCAAAAGAACCCTTGGGAAAGCGTTGCTATTATCCTTTGCCTATAGCAAATGGGATCTTAAGGTTTTTACCTTCTGCATTGGAGAAATCTATATTATATGACATGGTAAGTGGAAGCAGAAGCCACTCAAATGGTGTCTGTCTATATCCCCATCCAACCCTGCCTGCCTTCCCCTTTTACCTCAGGGGGAATCTTCCTGACATGAACAAAATGCTGGATAAAGAGGATTTCACAATGATGAAGAGAGCCATCTTTGCCACCCAGGTATTAGGATGCCCTTGGAAGCAGGGAAAGAGGTCTAAGGAAATCAAACCAGGGTGTGTGTGAGTCTGAGGGGTGAGAACTGGGATGGAGTGGAAGGAAGTGTTGCCAGAACAGCGGATCGTAGGAGCTCTGAATGTTTCTAGGAGGCTTCAGGTTAAAGAGATTGACTTGTAGCTGGAATGTTACCCGAACAGGACAGCTTTGGGATCAGTATTCCTGAATACCCTGTGATAAAAACCAGGATGCCTGTCTTCTCTAAAAGGCTAGTTCTTACTGAGGTGATAAACCTGTCTTTGGTTTGTAACCACTTTAGACCATAGGTGGAGGCTCATAGGATTGAATGTTCATTAGGCACATATAAATAATTTCCACTGTTGATGTATATTAGAGAGCAGAACCTCAGGTCTGGGGGTCATATCCAGCCTGATTCTGGGTTCCAAGAAGCTATGCCACTTTCCCCCAACGACTGATGGTGTAATTATTTTGTGGTTTTTGTGCAGTTCCCCCCCCCCCCCCCCCCCCATTCTAAAAGCATTGAAATGCTTCTCCTAAGGCTTTGTTACTGGCCGTACAAGCACTGAGCTACAATCCACTGCCTTTTTTTTGGTCTTCAGTGTATCACCCCCAAGACAATACGGCCTCCAGGAGCTTCTCCAAAACTGAATTTGTCCCTCAAGTTGAAAGTGCTTCCCAGCCCCATCTTTTACACACAGGGATGGAGCAATCCAAACAACAATAATGGGAGCTATTACTACAGAGAAGCTGGAATCCCTGGCTGCCAAGTCCTTTATGGGCTTATTTCTGTGTATCCTTTTATCATAGGGGTAGCGAGCCTCAGACCTGGAGGCCAAATCTTGTTTTTCTCCAGATGACCAAACTCCATTCTCCTGGCCCTCACTTCCCAACCTTCACCAATTATTTGGTGGGTTCCCAGCCACTGTGTAGTTTTTTTAACCAATTTTAAAAGGTTGAAATGCTGGTTCCTCAGGGTTAGTTACTGGCAGTAGGCTCTCTCTGCTGGTAATTTTTGCATTTCTGGTCCCCATCCCCTTTTTCCAGCCTCTCCCACCACTGGTATGCACCCCCAGATAATTCTCTAAATTTGAATTTGACCCTTGGAATGAAAGATGTTCAACACGCCTGATGCATATGAATTTCCTTTATATTTAGGGTTTTGGGAATGGAGGGAAGGGGTGGGGGGAGCATTGAGCAGAAATGTTGAGCCTCTACCTGCCTGAAGCCAAACTCCATTTTGGAGATCTCTCAGAGGGTGTGTTCCAGTGGTGGGTGGAACCAAAGGCAAAAGAGGTGGAGCCAAATATACCAGCATATTTTAGTGTAAAGCTCGTAGTGCCAGTCACTAAGCTTTAGAAGAAACAAGCTTTAGAAGAAACATTCCCGCATTTTAGAATAGGGGGAAAGCTCGCAAAAGCCAGCAAACCAGCAAATGATGAGCAGTCAGGAAATGGGATGCAGCCAAGGGGAGGTGCATGGCCATCTGGGGAACCTGTCAGGGCTAAATGGGGGCTTTAGGGGTGTCAGGGTTGGCCACTAAATATGTGGCTTTGTACCACAACATAGAAACTATATTCCTCAGCAGTCACGAGGACTATATCCTTACTACTTTCCATCTTTTTGGTTGTAAACAATGCCTGTTAACGCGTATCTCTTCTTTCCTCTCCAATCAGCGGCATTCATTCCCCCCAGTCTGCACTCACAACATGCTGGATGATTCCACTGACCCGATCCTCAACACCATCCGGCGCATTGGCCTCTTCAACAGCAGCGCAGACCGTGTCAAGGTGAGTGGCAGGAGGTCAGCCAGCCTGACTGGAACAAGAGAGCAGTGGGAAGCCAGGGCTGAGGCCTTAATGCTGTGAGCTTAAGCTAGGATTACTCAAGGAGTAAACCTAGCTGTGCTGCCATGAGGAACATAATAAAAAACCAGTGGATGAGTTTCTGCACTCATAAGGAATGCTTAAAGTGATCCTTCAAAGTCCACTTTGCTGGAGGACAAAGGATTTCCTTTGTTTTACTTTTCAGAGTTATCACTGAGTCTATTTTCATCTATCCCACATAGTGATTAGGTTCAGACAACATGATAAACCTCTCAGGAGTTGAGTATGGGATGAGCACAGCTTTTCATGTTGTCCAAGCCCAACTGCTTCAACAAACCATGCTGAATAAACCACAGTACCAAACCCAAAAATAAACCATGGGTTTTCTTTGTGGGTTGTTCTCAGCCATTAAGACATGGCTTGTTAAGTGCAGCAAAATGGTAATGCACCTTTCAGCAACCCGCATTCCATGCTTGATTGTGTGTTGTCTGAACCCACTCATTGCATTGTTCAGGGATGTTAAACTTCTTTCACATCAAGGTTCAAATTCTTTTTTTTGAAAATGCTCTCAGAGGCCACATTCTAGGGTGCATGGACTGGACTGAAGGCAAAAGAAGCAAAGCTGAAATGCAGAAATTTTTCAGCATAACTCTCTTGCTGCAAATAACTGAACCTTAAGAGAGGTGTTTCAGTCTTTTAGGATGGGAAGAAAGTACACAGAAGCCAGAAAACCATCAAACTATTTGTGGTGGAGCAAGATGCAGCAGCAGAACAACAGGCTCTTGGGCTCTTGTTCACTGTCTCTCTCTTCCTTTGCAGGTTATCTTCCACCCAGAATTTCTGTCTTCTACTAGTCCACTCCTTCCTGTTGATTATGAGGAATTCGTTAGAGGCTGCCATTTGGGGGTGTTCCCTTCTTATTATGAGCCATGGGGCTACACACCAGGTAGGCTTGTTTGGGGACAGTGAAAATGGCAAAAATACTGGGGGAAAATCCTGACAGTTCTTTGATTGGGCTTGAGCACTGCGTTCCAGAAATGGAATACAAGCGGATAACCTTGTTTTGGCACAGTTTGACTCACTCAGTCCCATTCTATTGTGCAAGTTACCATGAGCCGCGTTCTGCTGTGGAGTAAAGTGTTCCTGGAGGGATCTGACTTTACCATCCTTAGTTTTGTTTAATGTTACCTGTGGGAAGAAGCACACCAGAGCTGAATGGCCGGGGAGGGGCGGGTGGTTAAGTTTTGAGGGATGCTGCAGGTCCCAGGGCGTTTAACCCTCATCCTCTCAGGTGAACTCTCTCTTGTTCTCCAGCTGAATGCACCGTCATGGGGATCCCGAGCATCTCCACTAACCTCTCTGGCTTTGGCTGCTTTATGGAGGAACACATAGCAGATCCATCTGCCTATGGTTTGTATTAGGAGCTGGGAACTGAAAATGTTGGGTACACCAGAAAAGAGAGGCTCGTGCCATGATCCATGGGCCAGGCTGAATCCAGAGAGAAGCCTGCATGCAAAGGCTTTCCTTACCTACCAATTTATGTGGTCCCCTTCTGCTATACTGACATTTTGGAAAGAATGGGAATCAGATTTCATTTGGAAAGGAGGGGAATCAGATTTTATTGCTCCCATATTGGCTATCTTGGCAAGGAAGCTATCTCAGATAATCCCCCCCTCCGGCACCCCCTGTTCTTTTCTCTGCCACAATATGGGTTGCTTGTTAAATTTTTATTCTGGCCTTCCTCTGAGAAACTATGTGAAAGATATATAACCTAACATTCCAGCTGTATCTGAGATAACCCGCAGGCTAGACTTCCCTGGACTTTTTGCCACTTGGATCTTTACAGAATAGCTTGGCAGGGAGTGTGGGGTACACCAATTTAGAAGGCTGAGAGAAAGCTAGGAAAGGCACATGGGTTAAAGGCCTCACCACCACCACAAGCATTTAGATAATTCCTGATGGGGAAGAGGTTGAGAGGGTCAGGCACAGTATGGGAGGGACTGTCTTGCTGCCTCAAGGTCCATATTGCACACAGCCATTCAGCCAGTCTTGTTTGACTGCTACATCAGTGGGCTTGAGGCAGCTTGGATTTAATGCAAAGCGGAGATTTACTGATGTTGTGGGAAAAGACTTTGAGCCTGAATTGTTTTAGTATCTTTAGAAAAGAAGAGGATCTGGCAGACCTCCTTGAGGGAAGGGATGTGAGAGTCTAGAGATCTGGACCAGGTGTGGCCAGAGGTCAGACTTGTGGGAGCTACTTTTTTTTAATGAAACCCTGAGTTCCATGGACTTCGACAACTATTGTCATCATTAAACAGTTGGGAGTAAAAAATCCTTGCTAGTTTGCTGTTTATTGTCCTGAGATTTAGTGGCACATTCTGATGGACCTTCTGTACATCCTTGCTTTGGACAGGAAGTCGGGACCTTGCTAAATAGTGCAACGTATGTAGGAAATCAAGCACCTTCGCTTATTGCAACAATTCACCCATGAGTGGAATTCCCCCTTTGTAGGATTCCAGCAGTGTTAGTTTAGTCATAAATTGAATGCTACCATTTTTTGCGCAAACAAGTGCCAAGCAAAGATACGAGCACCTGCATCGAAGTGACAGGAGTGTGTGGGGCAGAAAAGCAGCATTTCCTACTTAGATCATGTTCCAGCATGCCAAACCGCCATTCATTTGGGAAGTTTATTTACAATATCTATCTATCTATCTATCTATCTATCTATCTATCTATCTATCTATCTATTTATCAGACTTTTATCCCGCCCCATTAGCCATTGGGTGGGTTCAAATAAGTGCTTCTGTTTAGCCCAACTCTCTCCAACCTGCTGACCTCTGTGTGTTTTGGACCATAGCATTCACAGTCCCTGACCCCACTCCCTTTGCTGGCACAGGCTGATAGGAACTGTAGTCTCAAACATCTAGAAGGCAGCAGGTTAGGGAAAGATACTGTAGATAATACTGAACCAAACGTTGCATGAAAATGCCGTGGCTCTTATTTCGATCTCTCTGGTTCTGCCAGGCATCTACATCCTTGACCGGCGTTTCCGGGGCTTGGACGAGTCATGTACGCAGCTGACCTCTTTCCTCTACAGCTTCTGCCAGCAGACACGGCGGCAGCGTATCATCCAGCGGAACCGCACAGAGAGGCTTTCTGACCTCTTGGATTGGAAGTATCTGGGCAGGGTGAGCTTCCTCTGTAAGGGGAGGGTAAACCATTCTTCCATCTCACAGAGAATGTTCCTTCTTGCCTGGTCATCTCTGTCTCTTTCTCCTCTTAAAGCTCATATCACGCAGTTCACTTATTTGCCCTCAGAAGGTGCTCAGTTCAGATGTTTACTGTGCCTTTGCATCCCAAATGGCTCTTTTAAGCTTAACAACTCTTTTAAGTTAGGGCAGAGGTTGGCAACTTGTGGCCTTCCAGTTAGACCTCCCATGATCTTCATTGTTGGCTGTGCCAGTTACGATTGATAGGAGTTGTAGGTCAGAACATCTGGAAGACCACAAGTTACTCACTGCTTGCTTAGGGTTAAGCAGCCTGGGACCATCCTGATGGTTTAGTTTACAGTTCCCATAATCCCTGACTGTTGGCCATGCTGGCTGAAGCTTGTGGGAGTAATAGTCCAAAATATCTGATGAATACATGTGGATACCTATCTGAGCATCTTCTGTGCTGTTTTCAGGAAGCAGAAGTGCAGTGATAACAGGCCAGGGTTTTAAGACTAACTTACCCTAACATTGTTATCATTTGACTGGATTTGTACCCAGCTTTATTGCCAAGCAAACTGTCATTCAAAATGGCAGAATCATAAATGAAATTTGATTAAAACAATAATAAAACACATGAATGTATGATTTAAAGCACAACCATAACTGCATTTTCAGTCCGATTGAACAATTCAGGGGAACGGGGGAAGCATTTGAGTGTAAAAAGTTTTATTTACACTTAGTGAGGTAGTCAAGGGTAATTTTTCCCTCCCTCCCAAAAGGTAAGGTGTGTGCAGTGTAATGTCAGGTATTCTTAGGCAGAATACAGAACACAGACACCGACACAAAATACAAAACGGTAATCTTTACTAAGTAAGTCACCGTACAAACATTCTGGGTTACAATACTAGGTCAGTCCTTTTGTCCTAGTCTGTGCATGAGCCTTGCCGTGCAACACAAAGCAAATGCAAACACACATCAGCACATACCGTATTCCAAGTGTTTCTGGCAGCCCTGTTGCTTGCTTGGGAGCTCTTTGGAACTGGAGGCTGTAATTGCCTCAGGAGGGATGTTCCTGGAATGCTTCCAACCCACATTTTCACAACCCACTACCTGCTCTAGCAAGCAGCATGCACTCAACGGTGACTCAGTGGCACGCCTTTTAAATGAAAGGCAAGGGCAAAAAGGTTAGTAAGTCAGCTTTCCTGAATCTGTGCCTTCCAGTTGTGTTGGCCACAATTTCATAATCCTTCAGCCACCATAGCTCCAGCCACCAGAGTGAGGAAGGCTGCTGATAAGTATCAAACACCCATCCGTCAAAACATTTTTAAGGATTTCAAGCACACACTGAAAACCCCTGATATTTTCCTTCCTCATGTTTATAGCTGACATAGGACTGGCAGGGAAGAGAGAATGTAGTCCAGCCCCGTGTTATAAATTAAGCCCTTGCAACGAAAAAGCTTTATACGGCTTTCAAGGCATGTGCTTCTAAGGCAGATGCAGGCAGCTCATGTCCCTGAAGATACTTTGGCCTATGATTCCCACGATGCTCCACCTTTGGCTTTGCTGGCTAGGGATTATGAGAATTGTGGGCTAAAACATCTGGAGTGCCGCAACAGGTTGCTGACCCTGTTCTTACAGCATTTCTCCCCCGGTGGCAGAAAACTTGCGTCTGGGTATCACTTCCAACTGTCACGGAGCGGGGCTCACATGCCTGAATGTTTCCAGCCCTACCAGGAGATGCTGTAAATCAGACCTGGGACCTAGGCTAAGGCATGCTCATGCTCCGTACTGGGATACATTTTTGTACAGGGAAAGATGCAAATGTGAGTTGCAGGCTGGAGATCTGGTGCAGGCCCAGATGGGACTTTACATTTATTTATCAATTTGTTCATACATATACAAATGTATAGCCTGTCTCTCCAGTGCTTTCACGCTACTCAGTCCAACTACCAACAATTGAAACCAACCATAAAATAGGATTTAAAAAATTAATAATGGTAAACCACCTGAGAGCCTGTGGGCTATGGGGTGATATATGAATGTAATAAATAAGTAAATATCAAATAATGTGTGTATATTCTCACAGTGTTGCTCACTCACACACTTTATAATAAAAACAGAGATCAGTGCTGAAGATAAAGCCATCAGAGAAATCTGTCTGTTCGAGCCAATGGCTGCCTAAAATAGAGTGGAGCACCATAAAACAGAAAGCCATCCAGACTTCCTGGGTTGTTCCACGATGTTCGTATGGAACTTTCTCTCGTCCCTGTCAGTAGGACTTCCCTGTTGTATCTTCAGCCCTGGGGAGGCTGTTAGGGTGTTGCCATCTCAGTGGCAGAACTGGGCCCACGAAATGATGGTTCTGCATACAAGGGAATCTGTGTGTGTGTGTGTGTTTCGGTAAGCTACTGGGCTTCAATGGAGTGTGGAGAAAAGTGAATGCCACGTGGGTGTAATAAGGGTGCCTTGTTCTCATGCCCGTTTTCTGCTTCCTTCTGCCGTCCCCTCTTTTCTTGGCAGTATTACATGTATGCCCGGCATATGGCTCTAGCAAAGGCATTCCCTGACAACTTCACCTATGAGCCGCGTGAACCAACGGCTGTGAGTATGGCACTGTGTGCGAGGGGAGGGGATTATAAGTCTTCATGTACGATTAGGCCTCCCTTGCCCAAAAATGATGGTGATGCCCTCAGTGTGTGCAGTGCTTGAGGATGCAGAAAGACAGGTCCCAGCCCTCAGGAGCTGGCTTCTAAAATCTGACATTTGGAGTGTAAACAGGAACAATGGGGATACATACCAGTTACTCAAACTCCAGCCTTGTATCAGCACTGTGGGCAGATTTCAGACTTGAAGAATCTATTTTGTTTTCATGGAGCTTTGAGATCTGCTAACCCCAAGATTCATCAGCTAAGACCAGGGTGCCTCCAAGAACACTCTGACCTTATGAATGTGGTACCATTGTACCAAGGGAGCATACATGACTCTTTCAACTCAAGGGCTGGATTCTGGTTTGGAGACGAGGAGTGGGCTGGGGAACAAGAAAGTGGCTATCTGGAGACCCTAGCTAGGCTGATTTGGCCCACAGGCTGAGCTTCAGCACCCCTAGACCAAGCGGTTGTGCTAAGAGTTTCTCAGGAAAAGTGGCTTCTAAGAGAGATTTGAAGCAAGAGACATGCAGGGATTCTGTGTAGCAGTACCAGGGAGCGAGCAAGCAAGACAGGACAGAGCTGTTTGATTCGCACTTTTCCTTCTCATGCCATTATTTTTCCTTTCCCTTGCTCCCTGTAGGCCCAGGGCTTCCGCTACCCACGCCCAGCCTCGGTGCCTCCGTCTCCCTCCATTTCCCGTCACTCTAGCCCACACCATAGTGAGACGGAAGAGGATGACGAGCGGTATGATGAGGAAGAAGAGGCAGAAAAGGACCGGCAGAACATCAAGCCCCCAGCCATGATGGGCCCTGTCCCCGAGTGGCGCAAGCGCTCCAAGAAGGGCTCAAGTGAAGCCAGCACCTCCTCCAATGCCAGCACCCCGACCATCCCCAGCAGCCCGAGTGACCTCAGTAGCCCCACCAACTCTCTGATCGAAGAGAAGAATTAGTCCCGTCAAACGCTGAGCCAGCTCGCACTCCCGCTCTTTCCCACACCTCCCCTGCCCCACGGCCTCAGTTACGTCAGCTGTGCCCCGTTGCTGGTTTCTGGTCCTAGAGTGGTCTCTAGTGTCCTAGAGTGTAGGTTCTACAGCCGAGGAGGGGTTCCAGGCTGGTGTGTTTTTAAACATTTGCTCCCTTAAGTTTATCTGCTCTGGAGGGCACCTGGGAAGATCCTCACCTACGCACACATTTTGGAATGGGTCAGAAGGCTGCCCTTTGGCGCATTCTAGAATGTGAGGTGCGTCTTTATGTTCACTTGGGCGTCCACTGTCAGGCGGTGCCTCTCCCCCTGCCCGGCTCTCCTTCAGGTACAGCCTAGAGGCCCATGTGCTGCCGTCCTTTTGGGAGGAAGGATCTGAATGTGTACAAGAGCACTGCTGTGTAAAGTGGGGGGGGGGGGGGGGGCGAGAAAATGGGAGGGTTTCTTGAGAGTGACATAGAGTGATCTTCATGGTTCTTGATGCTGCTGGCTGAAACTGTGGCTGGGTAAGTCTGTGGTCTAGAAACAGAGCTACACTCCCCCACCGCAGTCAGGTATCACTGACTCCAAAATGATTGAGCCTTTTTAAAGAATGTTCATAGGACAAGGTTTTGAAAACCAGAATAGAGTTCTTGATCCTTTTTTTTATATATAACACTAGGTTGTTGATGTAAGGGTTGGATCATGCGAATGCTTGTTCCAGAGCATTCCTCAGCGAGGTTATATTACGCTCTGGTATTCCAGGGAAGCCCAGTGCTTGTGCGGGGCCAGAAACTTCTGTTAAAAAGTGCGTGCCTGCTCTGCTCTGCTCTAAATGGGATGCTGCCACGCATCTTGAATAAGTCAGCACATTCTTGTCTCGCTTCTTCTGGACTGTTTTTATTGATGGAGTTGGTGAAATCATTCAAAGGGGAAGGGCTCTAGAATGAGAAACTGCAAGAAGAGACTAACATTTTGGATGTGTGTCCCTTTGGAAATATGCACAGCTGAAGGAAGGTCTTGCAATTAGAGGAGCGGTCCGCTTGTTCAATGGCACGTCCACCTGGGAATATTAAGAGGTTTTTCATGGTTGCTTTGGAACCTTTTAAGGCAAGCATTGCAGTTTAAAGTCAACGGTTAAAGGAAGTATAGTGTTGTTCTTGACATGGTCAAGAAGTCCTTGGTCTTGGTCCTCCTTTCCCAACCTGGTGCCCACTTGTGTTGTGTTCTACTTGTGTTGGACTAGAATTCCCATTATCCCTAGCCAGCATTGCTGCCAGGGAATTTAGCATTTGAACAAAACCCTATTTTTTCATAAAGTGATAATGGGGGAGCTGAATAAGTGTGGAGCTGAAAGAAACCTAGAACTGTGTGAATCACCAAGTAGTTCCACCAGAGGAATAGGAGAACCAAGAGAGGACTCCATGGATGGCTTTTTCTGGAGTGATACTTGTAGGCTGATAACTGTGCTCATCCCAATGGATACTTGAGAGCATTCTGGTACCATTCAAAGTGCAATATTATTCGTCTGTAATTTTTTTAAGTGCCATGGTGAATTTAATGAGGAAGGACCACTGCTTGTTTAAAACCGATGGAACAAGCCAGAGGAGAGTCGTCTTGCTTCAAGAATGGAAAGCTACAGGCACCCATTCTATAAGCTGGTCTTCCTCAACCCAGCACCTTCCAAATGTATTGAGTTAAAACTCCCACCATTTCCACTGTGCAGAACTGGAAGGCAGCAGCTTGGGGGAGGCTTACGGAGGCCAGGCATGAGGAAGAAGGCAGATCTCAAGATGTTTCGGACTTCAGTTCCCATCCTTCTAAAAACTTCTGGAGATCAATCTTCTGTTCATGCCTCCTACAGTTGAGAATGTATACAATATCTGGGGTGCTTCCTTGATTTCTCTTGCAGGAAGGTAAGCAGTTCTGAATTACGGGTGTTCCTAAGAGCATATCTGAACATTGTGCATTAAAATGTGCCAAAACCTGTCATGCATTTTTCTAGTGGTACACAGCACTCGGAGTAAAAGACAAGCTGCTAGGATGCAGTCCCTTCAAGCCCTTAATGCTTCTTGTTCAAATGGCTGTGCCAACCTCGCACCCCTCAGATGGCCATGAGTGGATGGAAATTATGGGAATTGCAATCCAACACATCTGGAGGGCACCAGGTTGGAGAAGCCTGGACTGTGCTGCCTAAATGTGGGCTCCTTGCAGCCCTCGTCTTAGGAGTCCTGGATCACCTGCCATGATCGTTGAAATCAACGTATGCCAGAATGTTCTGGACTGCTGTGATGCCACCTCGTCATGAAGAGTTGTGATGCGCTTGTGGAGGTGTAGGACAGTCTGAACAAATGGCCCCTCTTGCACAGGCAAGCAGAGGGAAGGCCACTGAAAGATGCATGGCCTACTGTAAGTGATCCATCGAAATTCTGTCTAGTACAAGAGAGGAAGCTACTTCAAGAGTGGAGCAAATGCCAGCACGCAAAGAGACCGCTCAGTTCTGCATCTTTTCCCAAACTCTTGGTATCAGCAGCAAGGAAAATCACTTTTAAAAAGACTTTTTGTGTGGCCTAGGCTATTCCTTCTCATGATGCCTCCTGTTTGCTTGACTCATGAACCACATCTTCTCCCTATCTCCCCTGCTCTCGGTTCTCTTACTCGGTCATTTATGAAGGAATCTTCTTGGTTTAAGGCTTCATGAGGCAATGACCCTGTTTTCCTCCCCCACTGGTACTCCTGTCTTGTAGAATTTATGGCTGTTGAAAAATGCTTGAGATCTTTAGCATCTCTCTTCCTCATCTCCCATTCTGGTGTGAAAAAAGTCCAAACTATGACAAACAAAAGTTTGTGTGTGAGACAATCAATTCAATTATTTATGAATAAATTTTGCTTTGAAGAAACTATTCTCCTGTATCTTCTAGAAGACACTCCATGACATTTGGGTTGGCGTCTGAACAGGCAGGGTCCACTCCAAGCAATCCTCTGCAGAAGCCGACCTTTCTCTGCTCATAAACATAAGGGATGGCAAACTCTCTGGTGAGGAACTCAAGGAGTTCAAGCACTTACTTCTGAGGAGACGTGTGTGTGTACACACACACACACCTCTCAGTCTGTCTCAGAAACAAAGATGGATGAGCTATCCAACAAGGAGACTGAAGAATCTCACCACACTTTTTTTCTGTAGAGCTTTATATACATCCCCCCCTTAAAAAAGAGAAAGGACAGCAAAATGACGGAAAGTTGCCTCTTAGCTGTGTTTCCAAAGACAAAGGCAGAATAAACTGTTGACTCCTTAAAATCGCCATCACTTTTAAATAAGCATTCCTCATGATACTGAGAAATTCAAGGGTTTTCCTGTTAAATAGTCTGGTAGCTACATTCCGATTTCACAGCTGTGAATAGAACACAGCTTTATTAATTTTTTTTAAATCATGTCCTTGGCCTAAGGAATTGCTGGAATTTTCCACCAGCCAGAGCCTCGTTCTCTGTAAGGTTTAGACAAGTGAGCCAAGCCTGTGATGGTAGATAAAAGATTAATGTACCTGCATCCTGGTGGCAGAACATGAACAACTCTTTTGGCGGATACTCATTTCGGAAATGTTTGAAAATTTTTAACAAGATAAGCAGCATAATTCTGATTATATTTCTTAGATGCAAAAAGAGGCTTTCTAACAGAATTACAATATCCCGTCTGTTTGGAGGAAGCTTCAAAAGTTCCAGTTTGTCAGGGGATTTATTCATAGGCAGCTGGGTAATTTTAAGGTTTTCAAGAGGATTCTTGTGAAAGTGCACTGGGGGTTGATACAGTGCTTTTTTTTGTAAAAAGTGCCAGAACTCACATCTTGTTAATCTTTTATTTAGGGTTTTTTTAGAGTAATCTTTTATTAGGGCCGGTGGTTGAGAAGTAATTAGTAATTTTTTTCATTTTTAAATTTGGGGTCACACTTTTACACTAAAAATTAAAGATTTTCAATTCACCAACTTTTTTAAAGAAATTATTTACCTTTTGCACATAGCCAGTCACTCTACACACACCAACACTGTGTAATGAAACATAATGGTCGCTGCCCGCAGAAAGCACTCAGCGAGCGACCACACGACCAGTCACAAGCCGAGCAGTGTCAAAAGCCAAGCAGTACCATCGCAACCAGCGCGGACACACAAGCAGCCTGCATGCGCTATTTTAATGATTTTGCCGTTCTGGTGCATTCTATGACAAAAAAAGCCCTGATAATATATAATTATTTTATCTACAAGGCAGGTTCAGACAAAATGTTTGCTGTTCTCTGCTGAATCCAACATTCAGATTTATTTACCATCGGCCAGTATAACTTGAGTGGAGAAAGTGGCTGCAGAGTCATGAAGTCCTTTCACAACAGTCTCTTGGCAGGAGACATGCAGACATGACCCATAGCCTTCCTTGGATCCTGAGTTTATGACCCCGTGAGAAAGGAAAAGACTCTTGAATTCTGCAGCAAGGGAATTCTCTAGATTCTATAGAACTCACAGGAGCATGTAGACTGTTCCCCTATTTCAGAGGATCAACAGAAAATTCAGAGATATTTATGGAAGCAATTACGGTGCCTCTCCGACTCCTTGGTGTCTGCAGGGGATGTACATTAACTATTTGCATAACCTAGCCGTTGCATTTAATCTTGTTTTCTGAAGGCAACCTTGCAATGCAATGTGCATCATTCCTACGGAAGTCTTTCATGGAGCAGTAGAATTAGAGGGGGGCCATCAAGTTGTACCCCCTGCTCAATGCAGGACTCCAAGTTAAAGCTTCCCCAACAGATGACTGTCCAGCTGCAACCTGAATGCCTCCAGGCTGAGAAAGCTCATGAGCTCCCTAGTTATAGGATCAATCACTGTAATGCTCTGTTTTTCCTGATGTTCAGCTGTAGTCTGTCTTCCTGTAACTTGAGTCCATTATTCCATCTCCTGTCCTCTGGGATGATTGAGAAGAGATTTTAGCCCTCTGTGTGACAATCTTTAACTACTGAAAAAGTGCTTTCATATCAATCCTTTTCTGAAGGCTAAACATGCCCAGTTCTTTCCATCTCATGGGGCTTTGTTGGGTTTCATATCCTACTGACAAAAAAATGGAGGAAATCTTGCGTTGCTTGAAAGTCTGGATTCCATAGTGCTAGTACAACCCTTGATCATGCATAGCTTCTGTTTTCCAAACCACATTTCATTCTTGCCGGTTGTTAAAGCTACCAGGGTGCATTTTGGACAGATCTGGCAATCCCAAGGCCATGAGGCTCCCTGCACAGCCCGTGTCCACAGAGCCCAGCTGGTTTCCAGTCCCCTGTAGCAGCTTGGCAAGCTTAAGAGGAGGAGGTTGTGGGGCACAATGGATCTCTTTGCCTCACTAGCAGATAAGAAAGTGAGCAGATTCCTGTGCAAATTCATTTTAGAAGACACAGAAAGCATGGACTTTCTGTACTCAGTGGTCTTGAAGTCGATTGGACTTCAAAGAACAGTCTTTACAAATCTCCAGAGAGAGGGCACAACAAATCCTACAGCTCCCAACAGGCCAAGGATAGCTTGGTCCTTGGACCTGGTGGTGCTGCCTGCAGAAAAGTCTGCTTCTTGCAGTATCTTGTGAACCTTTTCGCCAGGAAGTTTTTCCACCTCTAGATCCAGATTGGCATCGTTATGCTTGGTTATTGAATGGTCAAAGCTGAGTGTAGGGCCTGTGAGCAGAAGGTCAGATATCCCGGCTTCTTGCAGAGCTTCTACAATCTGTGAAGAACTTGGAGAACTTTGCCAGGTGTGCAAAAGGAAAGGATTAATGTTGCGGTGCCCTTCCTTCAAGCTGCACTGGAAGAGTGGCTTCCTCTGGCTTTGTGATGCGGCTCTGCCAGCAAGGTGTACAGCAGCTGGAAGCCCTCCTTTCCTGCTGCCTGCGCTTGAGCAGAGTACTGGGTGAGAATGACCCAGCAAGGATCCCAGAATTTCTCCAGCCAAAGGAACTCGCAGCACCTTCAGGGGCCAAGCTGTAGCTTTGCAAAGGGTGGAGGTCCTTAGCTAATCATCGCCACAAGAAGCAGCTTCCAAGTGGAGCAGAAGTTTAAAATCCTCCCATGGTTCCCTATGTGAACTGAGCGCTTTAGGGTTCGTTGCAGGTCCCCCACTGACCCCCTAACAGCTGACTCTCGGCTGCCTTTTGCCCTTCACCAAGCCACCTCCAGGAAAGAGCTTGGCACAAGCTGGCTGTGAAGAGGCCTCTCTGTTTTGAGCCCCCTTTGATGCGGGTAGGGAAGCAGGATAGGAAATTACATGCCATCTAAGTAGTTCTAGGTAAATACATCCCTACAATTGCAAAAATGCCACTCTATTTTTAAAAATGCAGGTACGGCATGGTCTCACCCATGACCTACTAGCGCTCAAGATGTAGACTGCCTGCGAGGCAGTTGCAAGCATTCTCCTCTGTGGTCTCCGTGCATCACACATGGGCTCTGTGCCTGTGCGTAAGGCTCGTCTTCAGGAAGCTTCTGTAGCCGGTGGTTTTCGTGAAACCCTTCCCCCACTTTTGGTCTGGATTTCTTGCAGGAGTTCCCACCCACTCCTTCAGCGCTTCCTCGGCAGCCATTGTGGTAGCCAATGGGGTCCCCTGCAGCTAAACTGTAACTCTGGCGGGAGAGGACTAAAGCTGCCCTGAACTCTTTGCTACTTGCACTGAAGCTGCAGTGTTGCACACACTTACCATGGAGTAATCCCATTAAACTCTGAGGCTTACGCTTGAGCAGACAAGTATGAAATTACAATACTAGATTTTCTTAAAGGTCTGTTTCATTTAAAGTGCTCACACAGAATGGGGTCTAAAAATGCATGCATGCAAAAAGTAGCATCAGACCTCAGTGTTACTACCCGATTAGGAACTGGGGGTGACTGCCCCAAAAATGGAATAAGCAAGAACTCTGCAGGTAGAATTCAATGTCCAACCTTCCTCAACCTGCTGTTGCCAGGATGTATAAGACCACAAGTCCCACCACTCACCAAGGAAGGATAGCCAACAGATCTGGGAATGCTGGGCATTGTAGTTCCAACACATCCAAAAGAACAGGTTGCATATACACACTTACTGCTTCTGCCTTGATATGGAAAGCAGCTTCCCAAAGCTGCCACTGACACACAATCCCTGCACACAAACTCACAGGCTTCTACAGCCTGCTCATTTTCTCGGATGCAGCAACACCTTCGTGTACCAAGTTTCTTGCAGAAGCAGCTCTAGTTATCACAGTCTGTCTGCAACACAGGAATTGAAAATTGGTCTTACTGTGAGGAAAATTTTTAAAAAGGAAATTCTAAAGGCACAATTACAAACCATTCCAACAAGGGAAAAGGGTAGAAGAGGACAAAGCCCATGTGGTGTCCCAAAAAAATTAGATGATCTGAAAAAAAGGACACGTTTAGGAAGTGGAAGACAGGCCAGGCTACAAAGGAAGAATACAGGCCAATAGCAGAACGGCAGGGATGGTGTCAAGAAGGTCAAAGCTAGTCTTGAGAATACCGAGGGAAAACATGATAGCATTCCTCTTCTCGATCATCCTAGAGGGCAGGACACGGGATAAGGGGCTCAAGTTACACCAAGCCAGATGCCAGCCGAGTAGCAGGAAAAAATTCCTGACAGTGGAACCCATTACCTAGGCAGATTGTGGGCAGCCTAGCAGCTTTCACAAAGCTACCGGGCAGACATCTGAGGGAGATGGTTTAACTTGGTGTCCCGCATTCAGCACGGGGTTAGATCTGATGGGCATCTGGCCCCTTCCAACTGATTTTATCTAGCCCGCCCTTCTTGTTTCTGCAAGCTCACTTGACTCTCTCTCCAAGGTCATACCATTCTTGTAGTAGCTCTTGATGGCACCTTGGATCCGGGGCCACAGTTACTGCTGGAGAGCCCCCTCCACAACATCGGACCCCTGGACTGCACCTGAACCAGGTCACCATTGGTAGCAATACAGGGACAACACTCCTCTGCTGACCGAGTGGACCTTTGCTCCGATCCAACCCGGCAACCTTTCTGTTCCAAGCAATTCATAGCAACACATTTAACATAGGCCTTTGAGCCAGGATAGCAGCGGGAAGGAAGTGAAAAGCCGCGGTGTCCAATTCCTAATTCTCATGCACACACCCCCACACACTTTGTAGTGCTTAATGCCAAGTTTATTTAATGCCAGTTACAGACAACTCTGCCTCCCAGAAAGATAGACAGCAGTACAGAGGCGTGCATTTACTGAGTAGCCCAGCTTCCGACACTGGCTGAACAAGCCAGCGACACACTTGGACGGCAGCGGCTGGAGCCGGGCGGGGGCAACGCTGAAGCTCAGTCACTGGACTCGCCCAGAGTAAGCCGGTCGAAGAGGTATTCGCCGAGGCCATCCTCGCTGGCACGGAGACGCTTCAGGTTGGTCACATGGTCACCCACCTTCTTGATCAGCTTCACCTGCTCATCCAGGTAATGAGTCTCCAGGAAGTCACACAGCTAAGGAGGGAAGGAAAAACAGACATTTACCTCCACTGTAAGGCCTTCATGTATTAAACCACCCTATCCCCTTGGTGCTCGATCTCATAATGCCCATTAGACATCCTGTAACAGAATCAAGTGTTGGACTTCAGAGGTCATCCACTCCTGCCCCCTTCCCATGTTGGAAATCCGCTACAGCATCTGACAGAAGGCTCTTCAACTTAACACCACGTAGCTAACAATCATGCCATAAATGTGTAGAAAGCAACAAAAAGCCCAGCAATCATTCTTGAAGAGGCAAGTTTCTAGCCCTCAACTGAACCTGTACACAGATGTCACAGATGTATGAAATATGAGACCTCAGGAAAGAGTAGCATAATCATCCATGTTTGCAGAATGGAAGTCACCAAGACTAAATTAAAGGAGCAAAGTGTACATTCTGAGGCACTTCCAGTTTTAAGAGTTCAGTGGCCATCAACCGGATGTGACCCTCAAGCTCACTTTCTTCTATAACACTTACATGGGGATCTGTATGACGTGAAGCAATTTGGTGCAGCTCCAGCAAAGACTTGTTCAGACTCTTCTCCAGCTCAAGGGCAACCTCCATGGCATTGGCTCCATTCTTCCATTCGTCCTGATCTGGTTTCTGGAGTGAGTAGTGGAAGAATGCCAGTTACACCAGGCTTGTTAATTTCATTAAATCCAGCTCTAACTATTCCTCCTTACATTGTGCTCTGCAATGCAGATCTTCAAAGTCAACACCGTATAACGATTTTTCATCTTATCAGTGACTATTTAGAGGTCCATGTAGGTTAAGATGGGAAACTAGATTCCAAAACACCACACGTGTCACTGGCGGACACTGCAGGAAAGCAGTTACAATGCAAAGGGCTCCAATCAGGATTGCAAAAAGAAACACAGTTTTTCTGTTCCAGTAGTAGTATCTGTTCCAGCCCATCAAAACTGATTTAAAATGGGCACCCTGCCCATCCCTGCCTGAGGTGCCCAGCAAGACTGAAGCAACCTTCCCAATGACATGCGGTGTAACTCCCATTATTCCAAAAGCACAGCCACTGGTAGGGTCATGATTACAAGCCCTCAATGCTTTATTTCCATCTCAGACTTTGGTGGTCATCAGTGCTGTTTTCTGGGCTTTCTTTCCTTCACCCTTTTCCCAGTTTCAAAGCAATTTCATCATGGTTTCAAGCGTTAAGCTCCTCTACTTTACTCAGAAACCCTTGCCCCCCCCCCCCAATATATAGTGACCATCAGATCTTGCCCAAGGCACCAAAAACCCTCTGTTCCTCCAAGATGCCTCCCTCCCTTCTCACCTTGACATCCTGCAGGACAACTCTGCCTCCGCGGCGGTTTTGGAAAGTCAAGAGTTTCTCTGCTTGCTCACGTTTCTCTTCAGAAAGGTGATGGAAGAATGATGAGAACTTCTTGAGAGCCACATCATCCCGAGTGAAATAGAAATCCTAGAAGAAAGGAAGAAGGTGGAAGTGTAAGTTCAGATCAAACCAACGGCAGAGGTAGAACTCAAGTTTCTCAGTTCTGTTACTGTGTAAGACGGAGCTGCAAATCTCTTCCAACCCATGAGCCAAAACATCTGGAGGGAGCCCTGAATGGAAAACTGGTGTAACTTTTGTGGCTTGACATAACAGCAGAAATAAGGCAAAATTGTGAATTTGTAACTAACCAGCAAACCATAAACAAAACAAACCAGAATGTTACAGCTCCAAATGGTTTACAAGTTATGGCTTGGCATGTTGTCAGACAATATATAGTCACGGCTGCAACTTCACCATTCAGAGGTCCCTGTGATATACAACTCACAGCACCACAAAGACTGACAACCAGAGCAGATGTTAAATTCTTCATTATAGCTTGAAGTCTAGACTGTGGTTAGTACAAACCAGCAGTTTGGTGTAGTGTCCAAACCAAGAATCAGTCTACAATTTTTAAGAGCCACTTTACTAAGAAATTCCCTGAGCTTCTGTCTTCTCAGAAAGCAATAATCATCCTGTAGGAGCCAGCCAGGTAATGCTCAAACAAGAATTAGCTGCATATGATTGTGCTGGATTGCCAAAATAGTTTTTTGAAGTACTTATCCAGATGCACATACCTTCTTCAATAATGCAGGTGGCTCCTAAGCAAGCCTTTTTTGGTGGTGGCACCTCACATTCGAAGACTTTCCCCAAGCAAGTTCAGGAGATACTTCACTAGCATTATTTATGCACCAAGTTCTTAACAAGGCTTATAGCAACTCCGCATTAACTGCTCCTTTATTGAGTATGCTACTAGGTAAGCAGTTTGTTTTATATTATCCTGGCTACTGTTTTAAAAAAGGCAACTTTCACAAGCTTCGTGATAAAGCACCTGCTTTGAATGGGCAAGATCCTGTGTTTGTTCAACAGGTAAGGCAGAAAAGCTGCCTGCCTGAAACCGTGGACTGCTGTTACCAGTTAATGTGAACCATACTGGGATAAGAGGACCAAATGGTCTCTCTGAATATTGAATATTTAAGTGTATTTAATATTTTATTTATTCTGCCTTTAAGGATGGAGCCCCCTTGAAGTACCTTTCTATGTTCCAGTCATATATGAGCAGAGAGGTATAATCAAAACTGAGCAGGGGGTTGAACCCAATGGCCTTCTGATTCCTTCCAGCTCTACTATTCTAGGATATTCCTAAAGATGTAATCCTTTCCAATTAGACTGGTGGAAATTAAGTTGGGTTAGTTTTTCTTGCAACTTTTTAAAAATAATCTACCATATTAACATTTGTAATAACAGAACCCTATACACACCTACTCAGAGGCAAATCAGTAGCTTCAGTAATTTCATTCTAGACAATCGGTTTACTATGCTCAGAGTACTTCAGCCATCCCCACCCTAGTCAAGTAGGGTGGTTTCCTCATTTTATGAGAGGTTCTTCCAAAAAAAGCCTAAACAATTAGTGTTTCTGCACTAATGAGTAAAAATCTCTCAGAACCACATTTACAAGCACTCTGAGTGAAAGCCCTGGCAATTGACACATCAGAAGCTGGTTTAATTACTGCAGTGATCTTTAGGATTTATTTAATTTTAGCCCGCTCTTAAACCTCAGAGGCACCTACACCGGCTTACAAACCATCAGCTGAATATGTTCTCCTGCCCACAGACTTACTGTCCAAGAGGACACAGCACACAAGGAAAAAGGGATGGGTAAGAAAGAGGAAAAACACAAATTAGTCATTAGTAAGGCTGGAATGACCCTACTTTATCACTCTCTGGTTACAGCCAGCTTGGAATGGTAGCTGGTGTGAAAGCAGCCTTCTTCAGAGGTGCAACCTGAATTGGTATCCTGAGTGGTTGGTTGAATACAGTTGGTCCTGCCTGCAAACTTAGGTTACACATGGATGCTGTGTCCATTCTGTTGCTTGGCCCAACCCTGCAAATCAGCCTCCTAATTCCTGTTACAGATAAGACTTCAAGAGACTGGATTCCCCCCCCCCCCCACAGACCTTTAGTCAGAAATTGGGAGTTCTTAATCATTAACTCCCTTAGTTCGACTTTATTCAGAAACTCTTACACACACACTCTGGAGAACTCCAGAATGGGTAAACAGAAGCTAGGGCGGACTTTGCTACATAAACTCCAAATTGGGTGGGCCACTTTATAGAGTATAATCGAGAAAGGAACTTTAGTATGAGGAACTTTGAATGCGAATCGCTAATGAGGACATTTGCTTTCTACTTGCAATTTTATAACAGATCGGGAGTAAATAAGAGTGCAGAAGTTAAAGAAGGACTAAAGCCAGTCTGTCAGAGGCGGGGCTGCGACTGCCTGTAAACAGACAAAGGCACCATTCTGCACAGAAAATGGCAACAATCTGCCTCCCAAAACCTGGTCTCCTGCTGATGGGCTTCATCTACAACTCCCAAAGGGTCGACTGTGAGTTGTCTAAAGCAAGCAGTGGGAACCTGGCTCTCTATCCATCACATCCAAAGTGATCACACCAGGTAAACAGGATAAAATGCATAATCACCTATAAATTCATCTCATACCTCTCCTGTTCACTGAAAAAGCTAAAAAAAAACCTAAAAATGTCAGACAAAGATTTAAGCCACTTGGCACCCAGAAATAAGGAGGAATCCGGATTAGCCCCACCCCTATACTGTGTTGTGATTTCTAAACAAAGAAAGGGAAAGCAAGCTCATGGGAATTGGAGGATGAGATTTCATTTCTGTTACAGCAGCTTCTCCCGAAGTGATACACCCTAGTTGTTTTGGACTAAAATACGTGTTGACCCCTCCAACGCACATGGAGGACAACAGATTGGAGAAGGCTCAGCTATACAATAGACGACGACGCAAGGCGGTTATACGTCTTTCCTGGGCGAAATTTGCACCTGCCTTTTTCAGTACAACCTTTTGGAGGTGCAGATATGCCCCATAGGAATTATAGTCCAAACCAACTGGGAAACACTGGGTGCGGGGGGAGACCTGCATTTTCCATCGCGTATGGGGAAGAAAATATTTCTATTTTGCTCTCGCACACGCCCACCCAGGCGGGATGAGCAGCTTTTAGGAAAGAGGAAAGCATGGCTTGCTAAGGCTCCAGACTTTCCCTACTCACCAAGGAAAGGTATTTGTAGCTGGCCTGGAGGAGCTGGTTGACCAAGCGGTTCACACCGCCCTCGCTCTCGGCGTGGTAGTTCTGGCGGATCTGGGAGGTCATGGTAGAAATCGGCGTCGGCTGAGCTGGCTAAGGAGAAAAGGGTGGGGCGGCCGCAAGCCTGCTCCGTTCAAGCACTGTTGAAGCAAGAGCAAAGCGAGGAGACCACCCAGCGGGAATCAGATCTGAACCCGGGAAGCTGCGGAGGGAGCTTTTATAGTCGGCCGGCTGTTCCGGGGCCCTCCCTCCGGAGTGCAAGATCGAAGCCCCGCCTCCTGGATCACACCGGCAGGGGGCGCTCGAGAGGAGGCAGACCGGGGGGCCGGGGCCGCCCTCCCTCTAATAGTTGCATAGGGAAGGGGGTCTTGTCAGATGCGGCCCCCACGAGAAATTACAGCTGCCAAATCTCCTCTCATGAACTCATGACTGAGCAGCTGCTGAAGGGGCGGGAGTTTTGACCTCTTGTGTAGGTGGCGACGCTAGTCTTGTCAAAGCCGGTGGAGGGGGCGACCTAAAAAACTAAATTCATGAGACTTGATCCCAGAATGAAGTGCTGTGGATTTGCAACGAGGTGGAGGACTGTGTGTATGATGTTAAATCCTCTGCAGTGTGCACTCTTCCTGAGAGGCTGCATTCGTGCTGAATATGCTTAGCAATACAATAGGCTGGATCCAGATTTGGTCATGCTTAGAGGAAACCCACTGAAAGAAATGGGAGCCAGTTCAATCATGAGTAATTTGATTTCATTGGGGCTGTTCTCCGGCTTGTTTCTCAATTTTATATACCATGTTCTACAGAGATATCAAAACAATGAGGTATAAGAAGCAGAACAATACAAATATTAATAGTAAAACTGCATGCTATGTAGGTAGGTGTCTGGGTCCCACTTCACTCAGGCAGGCTTCAGGGAAGCCTTGGCTGAAGAGGGGTCTTAAGTCTGGATCCAACCCAGTCACACCTATTTCTGGACATGTGGATGCAATAATCAAAAACACTGGGTTTTATCTAGACATCATCCCACTGATTTCATTGGCTCTAATCTAAGTATGATCAGATCTGGATCAACCCAACAATTTTAAATTCCAAAAGAAAATGCTAACAGCCATATCAGTGTAATGTTCTCATTAGGCCAAATCAGAGATAGTAAAATATTCTACAGACTAGTGAACTTGGTTGTTTTAATACAGATTTAAGGAGTTTCTTTTAGCCAACACAACACAACTTTGCATTCTCTGTGACCTGGTATTTCTTCTAAAGAAAAGTTTAAGTGCAACTGGATCCTAAGTATGCTACTTAGAAATAAATCTTGCTGAATTCTCTCACAATGTAAACATATGTCTACTCAGAAGTAAATTCAGCAGACCTAATGAGTCTTACACAAAAGTGTGCATATAGCACTGTAACCTTGAGCATAGCTACAATTTTACAATTATAAAGCTACAATCCTACACACACTCATCTTGCCTTCAATCCTTCGGAACTTTTGAAGAGCTGCTGTTATTTTTCTGTTGCTAAAAAGGATTTTTCAAAGTTGCATTTTACTGTGTTGTAGCTATTAACATTTATATACACTGACTTATCTGCCAAAAGCCTTCAAGGTGGTAACAATTTCAAACAATAAAATCTTAAATCTATTTTAGAAACAAGAAAAAAAAGTTAAATGTCAAGATTGCATATTTTTATGTATATTTATGCCCTTTCTGAAGGCCAAGAGATTGGTTACAAATCCCAGTTTCCTCAGGGAACACATTCCACAGTTTGGAAAAAACAGGGAGGAGCTTTTGTATGCCTGTCCAACGACTTGTATGAGCTTATACGGGTAACAATGCCTTCAAAAGAGCTTATGCAGAGCTTAAAGCCTGGACAGGTTTATAACAAGACTGGCAATCCCTTAAATAATTTTAAATACTGTATGTTACCCTCATTTTTTTAACCCCACCCCATGCTGATAGGTGGTAAGAGAACCATGATAAATGTAACAAAACCGATGTTAAGGGAACATATACAGCTGAACAAAGCAATGTCTCAAGGGAAAACATGCACTCTCCATTCTACTGCAGTGTGTTTTCCCAGAATAGTAATTAGGCAGTAGAATGACTTAGAGATTATCAGACCCCTACTAACATGTGAAATTAATAGCTGCTATCCCCGAAGCTCCACTTGCTTGACCTTTCCCTCACCCTCATGACTCAGCAAACACAGCTGGACAACAGAGCAGGGCCACTCAGGATGATTCAGCAAAACAGGCCCCTCCCGCCCGCTTGGTGATTGTTCTCAGGCACAGGCCGCCTGGAGGCTGTTCTGCCAATTCACCACTATTCCCCCTGAAGAAGAATCAGCTGATGCAATTGAGAGGGTCGGGAGGGGGTAGAGATCTTGTCACTTTAGCAAAGTAAGAGTCATTGGCCCCATCTCTAGCAAGATGTAGAAGTTTCATTTCCTCCAATCTCAAGAGGTATGACCAACTCTATAGGAGGTCATTTTGAAGAGAATACAGGCAAAAATGGGATAGCAGGACTTAAGCCTTCCAGTGAAGGACCACAGTGTGGAATCATACTAGGAACAAAAGATGAGGGAAGTCTCCTAAAAGGTTCCTCATGGAATGGCATGATTGATAATGTGTTAACCTTGTATGTTTGAAAAACAAACTGAAAATATATTTTATAGAAATAAACAGCTGTTAAAAACCAAAAGAGAGCACAGTTCTGACAGTTAAATGGATGCAGTTCCTGCCACCTTTAGAAAATATTTCTTTTCAAAGTGAATGGCTTGTAGAACATCTTGCTTCTAATTCTTCCATGAGTGAGTTAAAAACAAGATGTGAAGTTTTGGATGAAATCAAAATGTTCCCTTAATAAGGATGCTTCAGACACTAGTGGAACTAACATTTTAGACTGCCCAATGATACAAGTGATTCCTGAGAGCAGCCCACCATAGCCCCAGCCAGCATAGCCAATTATCAGAATTTATGGGAATTCTGGTCCAAAACATCCCGAGGGCACCCAATTGGGAAATTCCATGTTTTTCATGGGGCTTAGCCCATTGCTAATCATGCAGTAGAACAAGGTTTCTAAATCTTCAGCTGGTAGCAGGGACTATACCACCTTAAACCAACGAATAGGCATGCCACTTTGTAATACCCTGTACCAGTGGTGGCGAACCTATGGCACGTGTGCCACAGCAGGCACGCAGAGCCCTCTCCGTCAGCATGCGAGCCAAGGCGCCCCAGCATCACCCCAGCGGCCAAGCAGCGAATAACAGTGCACACAGGGACCATGCGCATGCTCAGAAAGGAGTAGCCACACCAGGTGATGAAGTCACAAGCCGTGACTTGTCCGAGCTTTCACATGGCCGGTCAGTGCACTGCCAAGGATATATATATGCTTGGACTAGCCGTGAGTTGTATTTTCTAAACTAAAACTTCAGTTTTCAGGTTTTATTGCAGTGTTGACACTTTGTGATAAGTGGGTTTTGGGTTGCAGTTTGGGCACTTAGTCTCTAAAAGGTTCGTCATCACAGGGTTAGGGCTAGAAAAATGAGGTGTATGGTTTTGATGGTTGGAGTGTGTTGAGAATGGGCAGAAATGATGAGCTGTGCAGGAAAAGCTATTCAAGGAAGGCTTTTTCAAAATTGCCCTCTTTTCAATGGAACTTTAGCCCTGTATTAGGGTTAGGGGTGTGCACCAGGGTAGGGTTAGGGTTCCAAAACTGAGGTGTCCTGCCACGATTCTGATGGTTGGAATGTGTTTAGAAAGGGCAGAAATGATGAGCTGTGCAGAAAAAGCTGCTCAAGGAAGGCTTTTTCGAAATCGCCCTTTTCAATGGCACTTTTGCCCTATATTAGGGTTAGGGGTGTGCACCAGGGAAAGGTTAGGGTCAGAAAAACGAGGTGTCCTGGAAAGGAGTAGTGACGCCAGGCAATGATATCACAAGCTGCAACTCGCCTGAGCTTTCACATGGCCATTCAGTGCGCCACCATGGATATATATGTGTGTGCTTGGATTGGCTGTGAGTTTTTTTTTAAACTAAAACCTCAGTTTTCAGGTTTTATTGTAGTGTTGGTACTTTGTGATAAAGAAGTGGGTTTTGGGTTGCAGTTTGGGCACTTGGTCTCTAAAAGGTTCGCCATCACTGCCTTATACTCTTCAGTTGTTTTTATCCATCAGGAAATAGCACATCAGGGGAAAAATTCTAGTCAGGCTGCTCTCTTCCCGGATTATTTTCTCTTTGCTGAGGAGCCTTCAGACAGATCATCTAAACGATTCAAATCTGCAGCCCAACGGACCACTTCAGAACTCTACTCCTCATGCTTCTTCACTGCATGCAGGCCAGGCCCCCTGACTTCTGGTCTCCTTGTTTTCTCAGCACGAGATGCTTCCATCCTTTCCACTGTTTTGTTTCACTTCCCATTTTCATTGTCTTTTTGACACACTCAGTTCAGTTTGTCACGAGGAAGGCTTCACCAGGGGTTAGCTTTGACATATTTATGAGAACAAGACGGGAAGAAGAGGAAGGGTGAGAAGGAGGTAAACGCCGAGGACAAGATGTTTAGGAGTGCAAAGGTCATTCTGACCAGCTGAGCTACATGGGACTGAGCAATCTAGGGAACTAAACTGTATGCGTACTCGGGACAGTCCATCGGACAAAGCTGAAACTGGTCAGAGGGAGGGGGGTGGAGAATCACCAGCTTAACCATCTGCCTTGCTTCTCCATCTGCTTATCCTGCAGAGCAGAAGCTACACGCACTGACTGCTAAACTCAGCATCATGTGTGTGATGCAAATGACAACAGGATGTGGTGAGGGAACACAGAGACCTTAGAAAAGGAGAGGGCTAGAAGTCACCAAAGCCTTAAGGAAAGTCAGTGAATTAAGACGTTTTTAGTGGATTTAGTCCTTGAATGTTTTGCTGGTTTTGGTTTGGTTTTGTGTACTGGGATGACTTTATGCTGCTGGGTTTATTTTGGTTTCATTCTGAGCTGTTTTTATATCTGTTGGGTTGTTTTCATATTGGTATTCTAAAGTGTCATGCACACTGCCCAGAGAATTTCAGTGACTGGACAGTGTAAAAGTACATAAATAGGTTATATTACAATTACAGGTAGATAGAGCTCGAGATGTCTGCTAGACAATGTGTCCAACCCCACCAACTCCAGACAAAAATCTAATTCAAGGTGAGACAGAAATCACTTTAGTCCAGCATA